GTCAGCCCTCTCTCTATACCTTGATAGTGGCTGTATCCAACCCACAGATGACACATTGCTCAAATTTCGCAAATTTGTACTTTCGTAGTAGTCTTTTGAAGTATGTCGGGTAAAAGACAAGATATGCAAGTTTTACTGAATAAGCAACTATTCTTAAATTTATGTGACCTACATCTTGTCATATTACCCAAACTCGAGCTATTGAAAGCAATAGAGTAGCTCATAAATGCCCATAAAACTCATCAAAGTCATCAAATTTTTAGCCTATATTATAAACTCGGTTCAAAATCTCCATGCAATAATTCCTCCATCTTCCAAAATGGGTCCGAATTGTGAGTGCCAGAAAAGCTTGCTTTAGAGTTCGAGTATCGAGATATGCAAAGGTAATGTTCAAAATCAAGTTGAATTTGATCAAAATAAAGCCTGATGTTTATAGATCTTGAGCTTCTTCAAAGAAAGAATTCCAAAAAGGTAGCAAGAATTGAGGAATTTGAAAGCAGTTAGAAATTTTTGATTTTTGAAAGCTTCGTAAAGTACAGAAATCTAACAGCTCAGCTTAGAAAAACTTCAGACAGATATACAAAGCTTTTGGCTGCTATTTTGTTGTTTTGCTGCTTGGATAATAAACGAAAAAGCTTACAGAACTAACTAATCTATTAGGCTGCTGCAAAAAAAATCTCTTATATTTCTGTACTGTACAGTATCTTCTCCATTCCCTATGATCTTCTACGCTTCAGTGTGACATAAGAAAATAAAATTGAGTCTTTCTAAATACTTTGCTGGAAGTAGGCCTGATCTTTGCCATTTTTATCGTTTAAATTCCGGATGAAAATACCTGCAACAGAAATATTTGTTAGAAATTTCACTAATGAACCCTAATTCCATGAATCTGAGAATATTTGACCATTAAGAAAAGTACATGGATCTACGCACAAATATTCCCACTTTATTTGCAGTACTTTGTTCTAGGTAAAAAGCACTAGATATAAGTGCGTACTAAAATGTCGCCTTTCTGGATTTTTAGAAAATAAAGCACGATAAATTTGCAAATTCATGGTTGTGTTTGCAAAAGTTCGTAATCGTACAACATGGGAATTGCCTAGAAGTGTAGGAAGCGGCTTGCTATTTTCTTTTTATTCTCGTTTTTGACCTCAATATGAAGTATGAGTGTCGCTTTATCAAACGCAAAAATGTGTTTCGAGGAATTTTGACTAAAACTTTACGTGATTACTGTTTAACGGGATAGCTGAATGTCACCCGTTGAAGTTTACTTTGCTTTTATAAAGTACATACAAAAGCCAAAATCTGGTGGAGAACGCCAGCTAACGAAAAAGAAGTTTTTTGCATTTTTCACTAACTTTTCACCAACTGTAATGCTTACAGACATTACAACCATAGTTAGTTCTTCAGAAACTTTTCCTACCTTTTGGCAAAACTTGGATTCAAAACGCCTGAGACCTGGATGCATAAATCAGCGTTTAAAAGCTTTCTGCAAAGCAAACTATTTTTCAGCTTTACAGGAATTCAAACTGTATAAAATCCTTGCGAAAAGAAAATTAGGAGTTTGATACGGAGCACTCTCAAGCTTTCGTAATCTGATATGAAATCTGTGATGTTTCTATTATGCGCGGTTCTTTCTATAATATTACACTAACAATCTGGGATTGACACATCTAAAGTATACTGATATAAAAAACTGAAAGATGATGGATTAAATATAAGAGAATAAACGTTAACATTCCCGAGAAATTGTTATAATATTTCGCTTGTTTACTTTTAGGCAGAAAGCATATGTTGATAATCGTAATTTCCAATGCATTATTTGGGTCTTACATTGGCAATCCGTGAGCTTCAAAACCTTGTATTCTTGTGCGTGGGTCCGTTCGCACTACTGTAATGCTTCTATAACATTTCCATACAGGACCGCATCGGCACGCGGAAAATTTACGGTCGTTTTTTTTAGCAAATGGAAGAAGGTATTTAAATTAGCCGAGTGCGTGACACGCTGGTACAAGTCAAGCGGAATTTCAGGAGTCTATTTTGCACAACAGTACCCAACATTCACGCCGTTGGATACTGTCGTGCAAAACGGCCGTTTATTTTTTTTGTTGGAAGAATATACGGCAAAGGTGGGTACCTAAAAATATCTTGTTAAGCTCCTGTATCGCAGCTTTTTGGCCACTAATGTTTACATTATTTATGCGGCTATAAATCTCGAACAGCTAAATGACTCTTTCAATAGAAGGTAGCACACCAAAAGGTTGACTACGAGAACTTACCTTCCAGTAGAAATTTTCTCTTTTGAAGATAACGGAGCCTATGGGCAAAATCTAGCTTGCTGAAGCCAAAGAGCTTCGTTGACAGTTTTCGAAAAGAAAAAGGAATAAGCTTACAATACACCAAGACATTCTTAGAAGAGGTGGTTCCTCTATAAAGAAGGTGGAAGAAAAGAGAAAGAAAGTGATATGCAGATTACTACAACAATTGTTCTTTGCTAATTTTTGAGGTTCTCACTAAGCTAGAACATTAAGCAGTCAAGAACACAAAATATGCACAATGTTGAAGCCAATAATCGTAAAGAGTGATGAATGATAAGAAGTTCGCTAGAACAATGCACTACCACGGAAGCGCTGCTTATAGACTTTTGTTCGTCTGCAAGCAAAACTTCTTCGAATGTTTGCAATGACTTTCTGTCTTTTCTTCCGGGAAGCAAGTAGCGTAAGCAAACATTTTTTTCCCAACAAAAGAGATAGTAGAGAAGTGGAATGGGGGTGAAAAAGAAATTTTTTGCCAAGACTTTGCTCAGTAAAAAAAATACTCTAAGCAACACGCAGTCATAAGCAAGAACTGATCGAAAAACGGAAATTGTTTTGACTTTGAATCAGGAGCAATTTGCTTCTGCTTTTTTTTAAGGTATGTTTTCTATGGTTTATCTATGCTGTTATATAGATAAACCATAGAAAACATGCTTTAAAGAAAAGCAGAAGCAAATTTTCGTCAAAATTTGACTTACTTATTTGATTTTTTTTTTGTTCCAAATTTCGATAGAATTTCTTATGTGGTACACACACTCATAGGTAAAGGAATGAATAAACAAAATATATGTCACATCATGCTTTTTGGTAGAAGTTTTTTTTTCACAAATCATATTTAAACTGTCATTTTGCGACTCTGAGTTATAAATTTTCCCCAATCTTTGAGGTACACTTGGTAGTCTAGGAAAAGTATTCTGAACTCAAAATCTTGCGAAATTCACTTAGAAAAGAAATTTCATCAGACTGTCGCCTATCTCCATCATCTTGCCTCCGAAAGCTGATCATTTCTCAATATAAGCTCATGAGCAAACTCTTCTTTAGCAAAAAGTCGGCGAAGTACGTCAAAGATGTGAAAGCCAAAAGTCTCCGTTTGCAATCTTTTCATTGTTTTTCCTTGGGCTTAGTTGATGAAAATTGAAAATGAAATGAGATTGAACATTTTTCTTCCGAATGCATGCCACAAACTAATATGTGCTGTTTAAATAAGACAGAACACAAGTAATTCTTATTTAGAAAATCTTACAATCCCTGGCGAGAAATGGTAAGGCTCAAGTGAGAGACTAGACACAAGCAGTCGCAAAGATACCATTGGACTTGAAGCTAGTTTCTCTTTCAATACGAATGAGTGTAAAGAAAGTAGTATGCCAAAGTTTCTCACACTATAGTAACGACCTTCATGTAAGACAACTTTCAGAAGGTTTTGTGACAAGTCAGTGAAGATAACTGGTAAATAACTATGGAAAAGATGTAGCAGACGAAAGTAACAAGTTCTGCGATTATATTGCTTATTTTATGCGGGAAAAAAGAGGCAACTTTTGTGGAATGGGAAGAATTCAATGGAATTGATGGATTATACCAATATGTCTCATTCTTTCCCTAAGTTTTATTGTCAGAATGAATTTATTGAGATAGTCTAGAATTCAGGCCTTGTATGAATTGATTTCCAGATTTTTACTTTGTGGTCTTTGAAAAGACGTGACAACGTAGAGTGTCGGCAAACGAAAGTTAGGCAATCCTTAGCGAAATCAAGTGGAAGAGAAATTGAAATGAGTTTTCGACTGGAGATTAAAAAGAAAAACTGAGCGGTTTAGATGAACGTGAAAATTTGAATGGTTCTTCTCAGACGCGAGAAATCGTGGTGCAAGCAATACGTACGTAAACCCGCGCGGCGCAGCTGCAATGCCTCTGAGTTGCACAGAGATTGTGCGTATGGGAGAGATGCAGACAGCGTGGCTAGTGCACAGCGCTGTACTGCCTTTATGACTAAAATTCTTGATATTTTTGAGACAGCACCCAGTAGTAACGAGCATTAGTGCACATTTTCTTCAGAGAAGGATATTTAAAACAAATCTTTTGATTGACATACTAAAGCCAACGTGGAAAAGGCATGGCTACTCTCTTTTCCTTAATCAACGTCGATGTTGACCGCAGGCACTGGCCGCAGATCGGAGCACGCGTAGCGCGGCAAAACGCTTGTAGCATTACAAGTTGCTATTGTACAAGTCGTGCTCTCGTGACATTTGCCGCGCGTGCTCCGCAATCTACGCCAGTTCCTGCGGTCGTCGACGCGACTAAATGTGTGTATGTGCAAGAATGACGAACATATTCCTATAGGGCAGGGCTGACAGACATAATTTCAATGTAAATGGTTACAAAATTACTGAATAAACAATGAAATTATTGAGTTTTAGACCAGATGTGCAAAATTGTTTGGCTAAAAGGCATGGCTAAACCTGATACAAAAATGATAATCTAATATTCAGAAATCTCGACGACATTCTAACCGCATACAAGAAGTGAATGAATGGAAACCTTTCTGCATGACATGTGTACCAAATATACAGTAAACTTGCAGCATATGAGCCCACTCTTGAAATGTCAAAGAAGCTCTCAAAACGTCAATTGGTAGGTGTGTACTCTCTCTTTTGATGCGCAAAACCAGCTATGCGTGTGATGGCAGCGTACCTGTTGCCCTTTCCCTTGATAGCTCCTGCTTCGTTGGTCGTTTGCGGAAACGACGTGATCGCGGGTTCATCGTTATGTCGTGCAAATGTCCGCAACTACGACTAAGTCGTCGACGTACTTCTGGTGCTACTGGGCGTTTCCATGATGTTGTGTCGCCATGCCAAAATCGTGTCATCTTTTCGGGATACTTTACGTCATATCTGTAAACAGTGCAATTGGATTTCACATTGAACAAAGTATAAATGCAGAAACATGGATTCATGATCATAAAATACAGTGCGTAGAAATTTGCAGGCTGATCTAGTAGGACTGACTTATGCCTTGCTGAGGATAAAATTTTTCAATTAAAGATAGCGACACAGGCAACACGCATTTCAGTGAGGCGGCGCAGTTAACGCGCCTGCGAGTCGCCGAGAGAGTTTCTAAAAAGAAGATACGCAGATAACTGTGACTGCCGCAGTGATCATTGCAGCTTGTGGATTACTTGCGCCAACAACTCAATCGCTCTCGATTCTGCTTATTTCTTTGGATTTTTGACAATCCATGAAAACTGTTTTGTAGGAAAATTTCCGTGTACTCTTACTCAATCACGCACGGTTACAAATACATTGCCAATGTTATCCTGTCAGATTACTTCGCTTTGGAATAGAAAAACGAACCCCATTTGAAAGTATGCACATGCTGAGCATTTCCTTCCGGCTACTTATATATTAACAGAAGCAGAAGCTATCTTGCATAGACTGATTTAGTTCCGACCAGATTAACACGGTACTTTTACCCACAAATTCAATTCCCATGTGCTTCAAGCTTGGACGATACCATGTCAGTAGGGCAACATACGCAGAGCCAATATTTATGTCACCTCATAGAATGTGAGATGGCACACAAAAAAAAATTGTCTTGCTTTCATCAAAGAGGTAGCAAAGTATTGCTACTTGGCAGCAAGAAGCAAATTTTTTACCAAAATTCAAGAGACAGGAGACTCGGGTCGCATTACATCAGAAGTTCCGATTGATTGAAGCCATCAGTTTTATTGCTGCAATGCCGGATTCTGTAGATATACGGTAGGTTTGAGCTAGCGTATTACGTAAGGCTCAATCACTCAACAACAAAGTCAAAAAAATAATTGACAGATGGTATTAGCTAACGAGGAAATGGTCAGAACTTAACCGAGCCATTCCAAACAAGCTGTATATCATCGGACTCGTCTCAAAACGCTATTTCAAGTATATGTTTTTTATCTGCCAAGCAACTATCTGGACGGAGTTATGAGCGTTCCAATATGAGAAATTTTTCATGTTTTGACGAATGTATTTCTTTAGAAGGCAGTCTGATGGCGTGGTCACAGTGGCTATGGTTATTTTATTTACAAGGAAGAAGCACATTCACCTAAAACCTAAATAAGTGTTTTTTAAACCTATTTCGTGGAACATGCGCCACAGAACACTTGAATCGCACATTCAAACGCTCATAATTCCTCCGAGATCCCTTGGCAGCTGATGAACATACATTTGTGATCAGAGCTTCAAGACGAGTCCGACGATATACAGCACGTCTGATATGGCTGGTTAAGTTCTGACCATTCCCTGCTGATTATACGATTAAGTTACGGTAAGAATACGGTACTTCGCGCCCGCTGGGTGCGAAGTGTACGTAGATGCACAAAAAAGTGACATTATATCTAATAGCCGTTCTTACTCGCATCAACGAAACAGTGAATGACGAAGATGACTACTTACTAACTAGGCTAACACAGCAGATCAAGCGTCAAGTGTCTGGCAGCGAAGAAAAGCCAAAGATGACGAGACACGGACAAAAGCAATCCAAGCTCGTGCTGGTTTGTTTTTTCTTATATAGAGATCGCGCAACAAATAAACCTCATTTGTCAGGGCATTAACCTTGCCACTGTATAGATTTATCCGAACTTTTTTTCTATAGCGATGACACTTTGACAAATCAAGGATGACGCATCACATGTCAGGGGAAAGATATTTCTTTCCTTATGCAAGATATGCAAATTCACCGAGGATCACACCCAATTCATTTTTTTCACTGATCAAATTTGGGAATGCAAACAGATTTCGTTGTGATATACTGGCAGAAACATCTTGGTTTGAAGCTGACTTCCGCAGATGTTTTATCAGAAAAAAAAACACCAAGTTTTCTGACAATTATTATTTATCTGTCACCAATTGATTTTCAAGATTTTTCCCATGTCACTTTTTTCCTGATTCACTCTATCTGTACTCTAAATAAAATATAGACTAACTGTAGACTACTTTTTATCAATGGAAATTATTCATATGTAAACCTTCATATATAGACCAGCGTTTCACTTCTTAGGCTGCAACGAAAAGCACCTACGTCTTTTTCGACGAAGTGCAGGTCCCTCGAAGAATAAACAAAAACTATCAAGACCAACAAACAAAGCGGGAGTGTAAGCTTGTCATCTTGTGATCTGGTTAAATCAGGTACAACGCAGCTTGAATTTCGTACAAAAATGCAAAAAAGCATCCACTTTATTGGAAAGATTAGCGTCCATTATTCTTGACAGAATGCCACTATTCTCCAATTCCAATTTGAAGCTTTCTATCGTACTTGGACAAGATCGTAAGCACGTTCTGCACATAGTAAGATTTATCATAATGGCAAAGCCATTCATTTGTATTCCGCTTGACCACTAAAAATTTGTCCGCACGTGCTTTAGAAGAAGAGAAGAGTTGCTAAGTTAGATTCCATTCGCTTTTACTGCTTGAAAGAAAAACAGCCGAAATGGTTCGGAAGATTCCGATGATTCACAAATGCTTTTCTGCGAATTCACTTTGAGGTAAAAAAAAACCTGCAGTCATCATTGATAAGAATGGTGAGAATAGCCACAATGCGTTCTATGAGACAAATCTACAAAAAAGCCGAAGAGCACTTCGAAAAGACAAAAAGGAGCTAGTGTAGATGGAATTTCGCGGATAACTCGTACTAATCCACGCATTAGGAGTGGCTAGCACAATAAAATCATTTCTCTCCAACAAACAAGTGTTCTCGCGTTGACCGAATGGATTTCCTAATGCACCTGGCCACGCTATAGCTCGCCGCTACTAATGGATTCTTCAATTCTTTTCATGTATAGAGAAGTCCTACGATTACTCACTAATTAGCTCCTAGAACGCCACCGAAGAATGGACTAGGGGCTTCCGCTAAATTGACTTTCGAATCTCTCGATACATTTCTAGCCAGCAAAAAGCGTGAAGTGGTTATAAAGCTTCTTTGGTATTTTTTATTCACGCAAATTTGATTCTCTACCACAATTCAATAGTCTTCCTACCTTTCCAAAAGCTTTTGGCATAAATTTCGATAGAGCAAAGCAAGCTTTACAAGAAGGCAATCGAAAATTCGTGTAAGTCGTTTCAAACGAAGTTTGAAGCCAGAATCTCGAAAGTTCAAGAGACGCGAAAATCCGATAAAAATGGTATCTCCTTCCAAAATTTTTCGGATCTTCAGAGATCCTTATACACAGCTGCTGTATCTTTTCCTAGTCTAGAAATCGAGAAAATGAAAATTTTCAGGCTATTATCAGAGCAATTTTAGGCTGCATACGGCATAAATACTTCTAAACTCTTTGTAAGTAGTAATGATAATAAGTGATAGTAGCAATTCATAAGTAGTAATTGACATATGTACTGCAAGAGCTACATATGTAATTTTCGAAGAATATTAAACTTAGCAGGAAAAACCTGGAAGTGAGGTCATATTTGAATTTTTTAGAACTGGGTCTTATAGATGGCTAAAAACTTCATAGTTCCAGAGATTTGTAATATAGAATTGTTGATATGCGAACACTCCTGCAATGCTTTCCCAAAAGCTTTTACATCTCATTTCACAATTACTACTCAAGAAGTAAAATACAGCAGCTGTATTTATGTATGTTTATGGAGTTCATACGCGAGTAAACTGGAAATACCTAAAAATTCTATGGAGATTCCACGTCTTTTTTTTAATTTTTCAAGCATTTTGAACTTTAAAATTTTATCCTCAAACTCCACTTAAATCGAACTTTATGCAACCGAATGTCATTTTGTACAGTTTGCTTCGCTTTAACGCATATTGCAAGTCTAAACAAAAATGACATTTTATGGTAAATACTCAATTTTGAAAGACTTTTGAAAAACGATATTTGCAAGCGATTTTATATCCATGATTCAAAAATATCAACCATCTACATATAATGAGTATTTTTTTGGCGTAATAGTGAAATGCGTACTGCTTATTGTCGCTTTAGAGAGAAGGGTAATTACTGAAATGGGAAAATTATGAAGAAAGGTTAAAAGTCAACAAAACTCAGATTTTTGATACTAGTTTGTTTCCGACATCGAATTTTTTAAAACAATTATCACAAAAAGCACATATTCAACGAGCTTTTCGTGAAACTTCAAATTACCGCTTACCACCAAAAAAAAGCATATAAATTCTGGCTTCTTAGCATTAGCTTCACCATAAAATTGAGTCCAAGGTAGCAGCCTAATGTTTGCGAATGTTTCATCGACAGTATCATCCCCAACTAAAGTAAACAATTACTCGCAAACACTAAGATAGGAGCTTCTCTTGCGGATTAATTTATTCGCGAGCGTTTCTTTCAGTCTAAAGCTCTATGGTACATAGTAAGGATTCCGCGGCATGGTTCGCCATCTCGTTTTCGAAGAAATTGAGAACAATTTTGTAGGAAGAGCATGATTGCAATAAAGGTATTTTTCTAACGATTATTTCTGCAGGAGTTCCAAAAAACTCAATTTGAACTGTGAAATACAAATTCTGTTTTTTCGCTCTAACCTAGAATCTTTTACCTATTTCAAGAAGATTCTGCATTTCTGATTCAATAGTGGATATATGATGACTGTATGTGGAAAAAATAAACAGTGAATTTTTAAATGTGTTTTAGAAATGAATCGGGCTTTTACACCATTTTTGAGCACCTAGCTTGAAACGTAAGTAACAACCAATTTACTGTTTTCTCCTCATTGTCTACATGCCACTACCGTAAACAACAAGTGTGATATGACAAAAAATGCAAAAAATTTCAGCTAATAGGATGCTTTTTGCCTCGCCTCAGTAAATAGATAAAGATTCTTTTTTCATGTGCAAAAAATTTTAAAACATCCATCACACAATGGTTTTGATAAAAACAGAGCAGCGCCCGCAATGGAGAGCATTTATCTCAGTGTCTTAATTTTTTGATGAAAAAATCAAAAATTCATTCTTTGTAGGAAAATGTTCTAAGCAATCTGATAATATCATAGAATTGCCACAGAATCACCAGGAACATTGCTTTTGCCATTCCTAGCTTTTCCACCTTTGTTATCGAAAAAAACATTCTTGTAAATATGTACCTGTCGCTGCTTCGCGGTAAAAGATAACGATTATTTGCTATTTATCGAACAACTCTGCGTCATTTAAATCTCGATTGTTAAGCAGTTTGCAACAAAACATATTGGCTTATGGCTTGCTTATCAAGAAGACCTTGCAACAAACTGAATTAAAAAAAATTGGGGATTGATGTATGATCTGAACTGCAATCGAACAAGCAATAAGGATTATCTCACTTTTTCTGGAAAGCTAAAAATTACAAAGTTTGTAATTTTCTATTTCACTATCAAAGTTGTACCTAAAAGAGGTTAAAATAATAACGCATGCCTTATAAACCTTTTACAATAATCGAAAAATTTCTCAACTTTGACAAACAGGACTCTTATATGAAAATGTTAGAGCGAGATGAGGTTTCTTTGGTTATAAACGACTGTCTGTGAGAACCTGCTTGATAAGGAAAAGAAAAGCTAATGATGGACTTGAGCAAAGAGTCCAAAATAAATATTTTCTCGCCAAACTGCCCTGGTAAATTGGTCCTGTAATATTCGAGCGTTCAAGCCTGGACGAGTTTCGGTTGCCATGGACTCCAAAGGAATCACCTAGAGTACCCGTGGGCTTCAAAGGAATCACCTAGTGTACTACTCATGCTCGCAAAGTGCTTATGTTCAACGCAGCGGCATGTGGGAAGAGTCAAACGGGTCCCAGCGATAAGAAGCGATGTGTTGCAATGTGGGATCATAGCACAAAATTATCAAACAATGGGAAAAAAGCATCCCGCACACACTTACCCGCATTCGAGTTTGTGCCGAACGAATCCTCGAGACCTACGATTCGACATCTCGTTGAGCAGACACCGATCGGACAAGTGGACACAACAGTCGCCGGGCCCTAAGTGATTGCGGCACGCGTCATCTTCACCTGGGCTTGTTCGTAGCCGGCCCTTTTTCAAGAGGATCGGCCGCCAGCGCCGCTTTCGGAACAGAACATCTCATGAACACCGCATTTTCACCGCGCTCGATGCTCTTTTTTCGGCTTGTCGCGGGCTGAAGTTTTTGTCGCACGCATTCAGCGCTTCCTGAGTCCGATGCGGAAACTTAGCCGACGGACAAGACTTAGACTAGTGTACGAGCGTAATGAACCTGAGCGGTCATGCGATAGCCGAGGTGAAAACTAGAAAATTCGTAAAGTAATCGCGACAAAAATTTAGCCGCCTCTTTGTCTCTACTTGAGCCTCATCCTTCCTTTCTTGAAATAACAAATTGGAAAGTATCGATTATTTGCATGATAATGGAAATGACAGGGGACTTGTTTGCAGTGCTAAAGTTGATCAAATCCGGCTTACAAGAGAAGGAAGGTTGGTCGAAGTGACCATTTAGGATGAGATGTAAACTGTCTTATAGAGCTGGGAATGCTGATTCCAAATCTGTCTTCGCTATCTACTGCGAGCTTTTGGGCGAGGAGTTATGAAGGTTTTTGTGAGTAAAAAGTCAAATGCAAGATCAATGTAAATTCACTCGTAACAATTTTTTAGGCTTAACTGATAGTAGGGTCACTCGGTGCAATAAACATTCTTGTTTCAAAAATATCAACTCGCTGCTGCATCATTTGAACGTTAAGAAAAGGTTACGACTAGTTTTACACTAACCTTGCATTCAAATTTTTACTCACAAAAACCTTCATAACTCCCCGCCCAGAAGCCCGCAGCAGTCAGCAAAGGTAGATATGGAATCAGAATTCAAAACTCTACAAGATAGTGTACACTTCATCTTAAAAAGCCACTTCGATCAACCTTCCTTCCCTTGTTAGTAGCTTTAGCACTACGACATTACATGATCCGTCGATTACTGTTATTGTGCCCTTGCTGTGTAGACAGCATTTAAGCGTGAACGAGTCGCCTCACCTATAATGCCTACAATCTGCGCGTGTAGAATGGCCATAGAGCGCATAATTCTTGACCTTTGCGCTAGGTTGCCATCGCTCCATGCGCATGTGTTGTTGGCACGAAAGGCATGCGACGCGGTGGTCTCGGCAGCTGCGGTGCGGTATCAGCGCTCACTGTATCCCTTCAAATGTTACCCCTGCAACTCAGAGGCGTTGCGGTCACAGAAAGCAATGTAGCAACTAAGCTTTGAGCACTTTCGAGAGACTACATATACTTTTGTCGCAAACACACTGATGTATGACGCATAAAATAAAGAACTCTTTCGCTTCAACGAAAAAATCTATCTTCGATGACTCATAGCAGTTACAGATGCAGTCACAAAATGGTACTAATGCTCATTTAGGCTTGCGAAAGGTTAGCTTTCTTTATGATAGCGAATCGATCAACTTTTTTAGAGACCGCTTGCTAATCGTCTGAAGGGCTCTAATCATTCTTCCGGTAAAGGAGAAAACAGCGAACGGTTTCGCGAATCCACTTACTAAAAAGAGCGAGCGGACTTCGGAAAGCATGCCTTCAGCTCAATGCGTTCTAAACTGGATATAGCTTATCTCCCAACACAACCAGCGAAGATGAAAGTATGGCCTTTAATGTTCGTTCTTCAAGAAAAAAAGTCGAATGTGTTTTTATGCAAAAATCTCGTGGAAAATTTTCTTCATGCAGGAATCTAGTGGAAACTGTTCTTTAGGCAGCACCCAGCGCTGACCGAGTACCGGTGCAGCGCCAGCGCCGAGCCAGCGCGGTGCCACCCAGAGGTCTTCGTACTAATCGATCGTTCCGGGGCGACGTCGGCACGTCTCTGGCACAGATAGCTCTAATTGCAGCCAGTATTTTGTTCAAAGAGATGTACCAAATAGAGACGTTTAACTAACAATTGATAGAATAATGCTTTAGATTTCATTAGTATCAATCAGTCACCTCCTATATGACACTCCATCAATAGTGTTTGTTCTCTTCCTCGATGGTTGGTCATAACCATAGCTCCAACTTGAGTCAAAACTAGAGAAAACACGATTTTTGCTTGTACTTAGAGAAAGGTCTTTCAAAATGTATGCCTGTAACGTCGACGTTGACTGAAGCAATTAACCACGTCGATTACTGCAAGCGTCATTTGATGTGCTGAGTTCGACAATCTTCGGCGGAAGTTTCTAATCGACAATTTACTATGCCGAATGTTAGCAGAATCGGCAGCAGAATGCAAAAGATGGGAGTGGTCGTCCGTGGTGGAACAGTATAATACAGAATTTCGAGGCAAAGCAGACAAAGACTGACACCACACAGCTGCGAGGTTTTTGTGATTTTATCAAAGATTTGTAATTGCTTAGTCACGATCAAGATAACATATCCATGATCATTTCTTCTTTTGTAGTTAGTCATCTTTTCTGATATGAGTTCTCATTGAGCAACAGAGTGATAAGCCCTTGTTCCGGGCACATACTACATCCTCATTTGCTGTTAACGAAGTGTCCAAGTAAATCTGGATTTGCGGGTATCTCACGTGGAAATAATGGGATCCCTAACCAAGACATTGTCTAGGTACCACCACAAATGATACCATCCACACAATGTTCATCTACAAATCCCTCATCCGCTTCATTACGATTGTGCGACTTGGATACGCTATATGTTTTCGCAGCAAAGAAAAATTACGAGATTCTTCTCGAACATGCAACCCTTAAATTTTCTTTGTCTCTTTTTCGAATTAATAGTTTTTTCTGACTAAGCAACTTCATTAGCAACTCATAGAAGCAAGCATAATAGCAGCGAATTCTCTATCATTTGATAACGAATATGTAATAACGCACTAAATATCGACTGCCAAAAGAATTCGATTGCTGGACTCATATAAGTCTTTCACAATCATTGTTTATTCGAGGCTAGAATGATTACTACGTGAATACTAGGAATGAAATTATTTGTTCCTCAAACTTTTTTCATAAATACACACACTCAACAGAAAATTTGGGGTAAGGATAATCCTTTGGTTCACATCAATTGCTAGATCGCATGCTCACCCACAAAATTTCAGTGCCTAACGATTCTCGTGGAGGCCCTTTTTTTTACAATTGCTTTCCCATCTCATTGTTAACAATATATCAAAAGCGATCTGTTGAGGGAAGAAAATATTTTGTGCAATTGCGACAAGTTAGAGCAGCTATAGAAAAATGATCCTCACACCATAAGAACCCAAAAAAATTCTATTTCATGAATACTCCACAAAAACTTTTCCTGGATTTTCTGCTGAGGTAATCTTTTCTTATATTATACAATAAGGTTTTGAGGCTATTTTTCAACTATAAACACTTGATTTTCCACTTTTGTTGCTAGATTTTCGTAGTGACTTCGCCTTGCGAAAGTGATATTTTTGTAGAATTTGGGTCCAAGCGCTCGAACGAGGCGGAACGAGGTGTTCTAGCATCTAGGAATAGATGCATCGTTACCTGCTGCTAAAGCAAGTAAAGGACGTGGCTAGCGTATTCCAACAACCAACAGGTGCGAGGTCTTCGCAACTCGGCTAGGCAGCTAAATATCTTAGTTGAAGTTCTGATCCCTCGTGAGACACCCGTATGCCCAGATTTTCTTAGACACTGCTTTGAGATTCATTGATTGAACCTCCCGTGCTATAATTAATATACTAGAGTCCAAATACAGTCAACAAACTCAACCTGGACTCAAACGGGTGATCGAATTGGGACTAGGGGGAATTCTGAAGGAGGGGCCCAGTCGGGTAGTAAACAGAATATGTCCGGTGATAAAGGTTGCTTCTGTTCCCTCATGGCTGACAACAACAAGTGTCAGCAATGAGTGGACAAAGCAACCTTCAGTCACCATCAAGGATGGAGGAATGAAGCAAATCTTACGGCAAAGTCCAGCGTAAGAAGGGTTCAAAGTCTAAAGAAGAGGATGCGTCGATATACGGAGGAATGTGGCGTCAAACCAAGGTAAGTCGATAGATCATTGAAGAGCAGAAACTCGTAGTATGAGCATGTATACTAACGAATCTATCTAGTTGAGGGTGCAGAATACACAATTTGAAGAAAATTACATAATCAAAAACATTCACCTCTCAGGAGAAAACTAATAAAAAGCTAGCAAGGCCCTACCTAATGTATCTAATCTTACGGTCTTATATCTGGAAGGAACTGATCTGTTTTGATGCCATTCCAAACTGAGCACAAATAAACCAGAAGATGCAACAGATACCAAATCTGCCACATTAACGTAGTTAGTCAAAGACAGAATCTCAAGGAAATAGAATTGATTCTGAAGCACAGAGAGTTGCAGATCCAATATCATCAAGTATCGTGAAATGTGAGCACAGCGGATTTCAGATCTATTTCTTTGGTTCCAAATCGATACCTGATAACATCTGGGTTAAGAGAAGGTCCATGATAAAGTCCTACAATGGTAGTTACGAAACTGGGCGATAACTACACGAAATCAAATTGAAACACTCGTTTGAAGAAAAGCAAATAGTTATATGAAGCACAAATTGCCCTTAAAAAGGGTTTTGGCGGATTGCGTTCAATTCGTAGCGGATTACGACGAAGATTATTGAACATCTACGATCAAACATCCAAGCCGAAGAAATAGCTATGTATGAGCACCGATTCCGAAAGTCGTACTTATAAACACATCTTCGTGTTTTTGACATGTATAATAAGGTGAGCTTCTCTAAATAAAAGTAGTGAAATTATCTGAAAAGAATAAGAAATTCGAGCAAAAAATTCGGAAATTCTGCTTATTCCCGCAAAGAAATTTTTGACATTGAATTGAGAGATTGATTTTGTCCTAGATGTGCACGCCTTGTGCATATCAAACAATTAAATAATTTTTTGATGACAAAAAATCCTTCTTTAGTCTTGCCGAGGAAGGGACGGGCACAGGGGCAACGTTGAAAGAAGCCTAAGCTCCAAATTCCCTCTAATTTTTCCCTTTTTGATGCTTTAAAGGAGAAAATCATGCGTTTTGTAAAGTTATTCGAGACAAATATTTCCGACATTTGACAGCGATGCAAGCTAACAACATGTGATCTTCGTTGTAAAACCTACAACATTTTTTTCAATTAAGAGGAGTTTGAGAATGGATGCTTGCTCAAGTGAAAATTTCCGAATTTTTTCCTTAAAATTTTGATTCGCTGCCAATAATTTTGAACATTTTTTAAAGTGTTATTCTTATTATATATGACAAAGACATTGTACTAAATGTTGTTTTTTGACATTGTGGTAGGGATCCCTATAAATTTTAGCTAAAATACCCTGATGTCCCGATTTGCTTGGACACTTCCTTCAGGGCAAGCGAGGATGTAGTATGTGTCCGAAACAAGGGCTTGTTACTCCATTTACTCCATCCCTCAGTCGGAACTTATATCAGAAACCACTGATAAACAAAGAAGAAATGGTTATGGATATGTTATCTGGGCCGTGACTAAATACTTGCAATTTTTTATTAAAAACAAGAAAACATGCTCGCAGCTGCGCGTCTTTATTTGTCTGATTTTTCACTCGGTTTCTCACCAAAATCCGTCAAACTCAGCTCAGCAATTGACTACTTCCAAGCCAAAGCGTCGAAAGCAAAGAACAGTAATCACTTTGCGTTACGCAGTTGTACAGCATGGCCACCGTAGAGAAAATGGAATAAAGTACCACTCACAATTCTTTAAAGAAGTCACCGAACTCGGCTGGAGTTCGACGAGATCTGCACGCCCATTTAGATACGGTAGGCGGTTAGATTTTATAGATTTTTGAATACGGTTCACTCAGTGTGCAATGAATAAACATACTAAGTAACCTAACGCGAGCAAAAATCTGAAAAGATTCATGAATCTGACCGCATACCGTGCAATTACCGTATGCTAAAGGGGCACTTCTATAAATAGGTAGATGTGCCTCGCCGCGAGCTAAGTTGGAGCGTGCCCTTGGATTCAGAATCCATCCGCAATAAACTTAGAAGTGGAGGTGCGATGAGGATTACTGTGACCTCTAGTGAAATTCTGTATTTATGAGGAATTACGAGCGTTATTGTATAATGCACCGATGTAACTGATGCAAATTTAAGTGTGTTCTACAAATCGGTCATGAGCAGTATGAGAAGACAGGGACAAACCGCTGGGGCGAACTCTTGACGTAATTGGGTAAATCAGTACGAAATGGTAGTACCCGAAATTGAAAAAAATAGGAAAAAAGAGAAGTCTAGATTTGTTTCAGATAGTCACAATGTAGCAAAGTACTATTAGCCTGAATAAGGCTGACTTGCAAAAAAAGAGCGGTTTCTCTAAACACTGCATAACTTTGATCTACTTTCAACAACTAACTTCGAAGAAGTGGAAAATTGAACAAAGTATGTTAAACATTGCTTTTTCAAGGCTTTCTGATGATCCGAATCTATTGTAAAATTCCCTTGGAAACTGTCTCGAACAAGTAAATTCTCGTAAAAGCATATCACATCACAATCAAGTAGAAGCAGAGAATTGGACTAAGAAAGAGCTTTGAAAGGATAAGATGTTCGATACAAACGGATTAGACCCGATTGATGGTCAAGATATGGATCGTTACGCAGTCAAACACATTTTGGAAAACAACGCAAAAGTACTTGCACGACAGAACATCGCAAGAAATTCGAATACAAAATAAAAGGATCTTGATTTAATGCGTTAGAAACTGCTACAAACGCTGTTAACTTACAGACTCTTTATGATTTCGGATTATTCGGTACTTTCCGTAATGCAGATCCATTTTTTCAAAGAACCCCCGTAAAATATGTGTTTCAATTTAGAAGAACTTCGACTGATAAAAACTCTCTAACTTTCACGACGATGGAGAACGAACGAACGTGCGTTTGATCAGAGAGACGCTTAGGTCCGCAGTGAGCCTTTCTCTGCGTGCTATGAATCGCCTATAACTGTTTAGTTTAACCCGCCTGTTCCGCTATGTAATTATAAATTAAAAATATGGACTTTGGTGATACAAGAGAGTTATTTCGAGAGAAAAATAATGCACTTGACCATGTAAAGTACTTGATGTTCTTGTTAGGGCTCAAATAGTCGGCAGATGTTGAGATAATAATGACGTTGCATAATAAAACACGTAGCCTCCCGCACAGGTATAGTGCAATATCCTCTTTCATTTTTGTTCTAAATTTAGTGTTTAGTTTGGTTCAGACAAGCACTTCGGATCTTGTGGAACATCTCACTAGGTCCCACACTTCACGGCGATTAGTGGGGACCACGCAGGTCCCATGGAAAAGGTTATGGATAGCTCGTTCTTTCTGCCGTAAATAAACCAAATTTGAGTGCCCTTCGGAGCGATTTTCTCGCTGCACGGCTCCTTTCGGTAAAGCACAAATTGTCTTGTCTCTTTTAAAAATTGTCAATATAACACTTTATTCAAGCGTATATGCAGACGTGAGATACGAAATCATATCAAATTAACATAAGTACTACAAAGTTGCGGAAACCAAACTTCTAGATTGACCGGTTTTTCAATATACTAATCTAATTAAGGCATTCTGAAAAAAAAGTTCAAACTTAGCCGATATAATATACGAGAAGAAAATGGACAAGGGAAGATGTGATGATAGATAGTTAAATCTGATAAGCAGTTCATCAACAGAAATTCCAGGTTGGCTAAAAATAATTTCGCCATTCTGACCTGTAAAAGCTCTAATTCCAATCTTTTTATGCTAATATTCGGTATCATTAAAAAGAGCACATAAGGAGAAAATGCGCACCCTGTGCAAGGAAAGATAAGTTTTGATGACAAAAATGACGCAAGGATTCAAGACAGTCTAATTCTGCCGAAATCCGCATCGAAAAAAAAAAACAAAAATTGGATGTCAGGCGGACTTCATGTCTACACAAGTTTTAAAATTGCGTCACGCTTTACCACTGTTAAAATGTAGTATTTGGAAATCATCTGAAATCTACCTTCGCTAATAGCTAAACACAATCTTTATTTTTGTTAGCTGGGTAGCGAAAATTTTTACTAGTACACAACTATCAGATTCCTTCATCTATCCATCACAGCACAAATAGCAAGCTTGAGTAGTTTTTGCAGGTTTGCTTACATTGACATCTAATGGTGTTTTCACATTGACAAAAACATTTCTTCAGCGGTAAATTTTGGTAAAAGTATAACATGATGAAATTATTTTTTATTGAAATGTACACTTATTACCTTTCAAAAAGATCTAGCCTTGGTAATACATGAATTTACAGAGTTTTCCGGTCACTTGTCAAAAGGAAACCATTTGTTAGCCAGCCTACACGGTAGAATTACAAGTAATGCAGAAAGCTGATACTATCAACGAGTTTTTGATTTGTACAATAAGGTTATGCGTTGAAAGTTCAACCGGAAATTACTTATTGGGGAAATAACAAATCAACCTAGAAATATTATTGAGACATTCAAGCAAATTGAATCCACTCCAAGTGCCAGTACTAAAACTTATATGACCTCATCACAAGGATTCCGCCAGCGAGTATCATAGGAACTCCCTTTTTCACCTCAAGATTTGCAGCATCCATTCCCGCAGCCTCATATAACGCCAACATCTCGCTATTAATTTGTATGAATTTGGTGGCTGAAACTACTGGTTTGGAAAGGGTCATGACGAACGTTCAAAAAACAAGGGCAAACCTATTTCTTGGTATCGTTCCAAAGCTTCAGGAATTCTGGCTCGGGCTTCAAGTTGAGCTTGGAACGGATCATCTTCGCGATTCGATACATCATTCACTTCCGATGACACTGTGGCGGTGACCATTTCAATCAGAGATGCTACACGGGTAAACTCTATGACTTCGTCACGTTATTGCTAAATTTAAAATTACCGCATTCCTCCTCAATACGACTGCTATTCGTAATATCATCAACTTGTTCTTTTCCTCTAATGACGGAAACATTGGTTTCTTCAACTGCAATCATACCACTTCGCTCTAAAAAAACGACAATGTCATTTCTTTACTTTGACACGAAGGCTCAAAATACATCAAATTCGCAAAACCTGATGAAATCAGGGCCCGGCACGCGGGGTGGCAAATGTCAAGCTGGCCATTTTATGTGGACCGAGGAGGAGCAAAGAGGCCAACCAAGATTTGTGGAGGTCATCACATGAATTATAAAGATATGTAGGAAGCTTATTCAAATTTCAGAAGATTATTCATATTTTGTAAAAATTGAAAGACTTTTCAACCCTTTGAAAATTGAAATTCGCCTTGTAAACACAAGGAACTGAACGTAGGGAAGAAGATCGGACTGCGAATAAATCGGAAGAAGACCAGTTCATGAGGAACGCCCTTTGCGAAGATGCAGAAATGGAATTGGAAGGCACCCCTATCATGAAGACGTCTTCTTACGTGTATCTCGGACGTTCGTTGAACATGGAGAACGACTTGAGGGAAGAACTTAACAGGAAAAGAAGAGCAGCCTGGGCCGCCTTCGGGCCTCTGAAGGAAGCCACCGACCAACTGGCGGACCCGGAGCTTCGTGCCCACCTGTTCGACTCAACCGTTCCCCCAGCGCTCTGCTACGCAGTTGAGACTTGGCCCGACACTGTAGCCACGTCGAAAGCTCTACGGACCACCCACAGAGCGCTTCAGCGCAGTCTTCTAAAGATGAGCCGACACAAACAACACCTTGTCGGACTTCGCAGCACGGATTTAAGAAGAATGTTCCGTCTTCGTGACCCAGCGGAATACGTTGCGAAAGCAAAACACCGGTCACATCATGAGAAGAAGGCGACAGATGGACACTAAGAATATCTGAGTGGATTCCTCGCGAAACCAAACGTCCTCGAGGAAGACCACCGACGAGATGGGCAGACGTGTTCGTGGAACGGATGGACCAGCTGGGAAATCAGCTGGATACGATTTTCGCCCCTGGAACTCGTGAACGCAGCCACCGGCGACGGCCAAGAAGATCGTGGATGTCTGAAGCGAGGGACAGGGAAAAATGGCAACTTCTGTACTGGGGCCCGCACGTCACGTGAGGACGGGCCATCTAAGTATCTAGGTATCTAAGTATCTTGTAAACACTTTTTTGGGACATTTCTGCCGCCACGCCCCTTATTTCTGGATTCGGATTCTGCAACTACTTTGAGCATCCCAAAATTTTTTTCGAGTGCGTGACTAGCGCCATGCGCCTTCAATCGAAATTCTTGGCCCCCCCCCCGCCTCTCTCCCCCAAGAGATTGGGATCGCCACTGTCAAATGGTATCATGAACACATTTTCATAAGCACCGACCGTCAGATTCCCAATCGTGACGAGCATGCTTCTGCGCGATTACGTCTTCAAACGCGATCTTGCTTGAAGGCAGCGTCCGGCCATATTCTTGACCTTCATTTTTTGCCTTAAAGGCAGCGGCTCGGCAGAATGACAACTTTGGGATATTCATCGTTCTGAGCTCTCCTGGTTGAGCTAAGTCCAATACTGTGCTTTGCAGCTTCAAAAGATATCAATAACCCGCTTTTCCAGACGTGAAAAGCGCTACCTGAGGGCGGACCGCGTAATTGCCCTCTAAAGCGCGATTGGCTAGTGAGTGGAGATACTGTACCCACCGTATCCACGAACCAATCGCGCTCTAGAGGGCAATTACGCGGTCCGCCCTCAAATAGCGCTTTTCACGTCTGGAAAAGCGGGTTATTGATATCTTTTGAAGCTGCAAAGCACAGTTTTGGACTTAGCTCATCCAGGGGAACCGAGAATGATGAATATCCCAAAGTTGTCATTCTGCCGAGCCGCTGCCTTTAAAGACGCCATTCACCCAGATTTGACTTCTATGTTTTGATCTTTCCGGAACCTTCTTATCCCTGATTTTGAATATGAAGTCGAAAACCCGCGAAACCCCCAACAATTCCGGTCTCGGAGAAGCCTCATGACGGTTCTCCGAAACGGTGATTGGATGGGCGCACACGGATGGACGGGCATTACTGAAACGGTGGGAAGGGGGAGGGGGGTGCCGACTCCGGGTCCCCATGCCTCTTTGCTATTTCAAAGCGATTTTCTCACTTTCGAAGGGACATTTTGCACTGCGGTTTACGCATCGACTTGATAGGAATCCTAGCGTAAACTGCCAAAAGCTCAAGACCTTTAAATTAGGTTGGAGGGTGCCTTTGACCACGCATTTTCATGGCGCCGATTCCAAATATGGATTCAAAAAAAGTGAATTCCTTAAAAACCCGTTTCCGAGAAATACTTTGTGAAAGCTAGTGCTCCTGGCGCCAATCTTGCCGCTAGATTAGCAGGTCAAATAGTACGCTTTCAGTTGTGCCCACCATGTAAAAACGTATCAAGATTAAGGAAATTTGTTCGAGGAGGTTGGCTTCATGACGAAGAGAACGGGATTCTCGAGACTCTAGTGATTTGTGCGCCAACTTCCTCTTTTCAGAGAGGGTGTTTGGAAGTCAGTCGCGGTAGTTCCACATTAGTTTGATTCTGGCTGAGCAACAGTACTCGATCATGATAGTAGCTGAGCATTTTCAAATCTGCCCAACGCTGCCTTTAAAACGCAAATTCAACAAAAACAGGCATCTTGGTAATGAATAGCTGACTCCTTTACAAAGCAGCGTTATCTATGTGGAGGGCTAGAAGGAACAAACCTGCTAATGCTTGTAGGAAAATTACGCGATTGCAAGAGTAGCAAGTTTCCTAGATTTTCCACAGCAAACAATAAAAAAAAAATGATTCATTTGCAAGCACAGGTAACGTTACGACCCCAAACTTCGGGTGTATACTCGCAATGAGGAATACGAGCATGAACACATATGAAGAACTTTTGTAATTAAATGGCATGCTTATTTTTCGCTATGGCTAACTGCCACCTTGAATGTGGCAAGACCTGCAGTTAACCTTTGATTCTACTGGATTGGCGGCTGGAAGGCGGCGCTTTGTGACCTGATTAAGGCCGCTGTATGCGACGCAGTCTGCGTCTCATTCGCGCGCGTGCTCTCTGATCATTCTCTAGTCTTAGCTAGGTCATATAGCCCTGTCTCCCAGCCGCCGATCCAGTTGAATAAAAGGGTAGCTTCTCGTGATTTTATTTTATAGATCTGTTCTACAAAGTTCACTAAATGTTAGAATTTGATTTCAAAACTTCTCCTCTTCTCCAAATCCGAAGCAACGCTAACAATCAATTGCCATTGAGATGGAAAGCGCGCTCGAACTGATCGACCTAGAAATTGGTGCGATTGATAGGGAAACGGTAAAACTCTAAAGTTGCAAAGAGAGATTCATTTCCTAGATTCACATTTGCCCTCTTCCCCCGTGCAGGACCTGGTTAAACTCTCTTTCAACTTTGGATCGCTTTCGCCAACAACATATTTGTTCAGCAATCAGCAATTTTTGACAATATTTTAAACCATTACCAGTTTCATCACTGTCGCACGTGATACTGTTGTCATCGGAGGGTCGAGTCACAGCATTGGAAGGCGATAAGCATGCATTATCATGTTCTTCTTCACCTAAATTTCTGTCTTAGCTTAAGTTTCGTACAAATAGACGGGCTCCAAATCGCACCTGCTTTCTCATTTGTTATCACTCCTGCATCCGCAGAAACTGTTTCTTTTGCGGAGTCATTGGGAAGCGTAGCATCATCCGTAGCTGATGTGGCAGGCTCAGATTCAGGTTCCTCAAATACCGAATATTGTCTCTTAAGTATTATAAGTCCTCAGTGTTAGGTACACGTTGCAGCGCTAAACTAAGATTGTGGTGGCAATTGATACAAATCAAAGATTTTTCGCGTTTCAAAGACGGTGGCTCGGGGAAATGGAGCCCTGTCAGATTTTGCTTTTGGTCTTCATGCGCTAAATCCTAAAAAGACGCTTCAAAAGCCCGCCAACTCCTTCCACTTCGATTAAGTGGGCGGGGTTAGTGGACTGGGATTCACCGGCCAATGGCCAATGACGTCAGTGGCCAATCAGCGTCCTCAAGTGCAGCAGCATCTAAATGTAAGCTACAGTTCAAATTCGAATTCTCGGCCGTAATTTATATGAGACCGCTGGGAAATTGATCAAAATCTTCCAATCATCTTGCGCATAAGAACGCACGTCAAATTTGCTCGGACACTGCCTTTCAGAGCAATGGGCAAAAGGGAGGGCGCCTGAACTTCTCCTGCGATACATTAAGTTCTCCAACCAAACCATTACCCAAGTGCAAAGTCATGATATAAACGAAAAATATGTGCGAAAGAGTTCTCCAGGTCTTCCAGCCGCACGATACGGATAAGTCATAAACTATTCTTCTGCACCGACCTTCGCATTCTTGACTACAATATCGTGCCCCTTGTTAGACTTCAACTCCCAGAGCGTTTTGCTAGGAAGGCCCTCAGACTATTTGAGAGCATGCGCAAGGGAACCTGTAACTAGGTTTACGCGACAGAAAGGCTCGAGAGAGACTAACAGATCCCCCTGTTTGGGCTACCTCTCTGAGTTATTCTATCTTTTCAACCCGCGCCGAAACTCAACGAGTTGGTTAGTTGCTGTTTCTGGGGCGAATGGTCACGTGCAAACTGAGCAAGCGCTTTCACTGCTATTTCGACTCGAGGTTTCCTGATGTTCAGTACGGCGACTTCACGACGGGATAGGAACGCGAGGTGGCGTATCTCAAGGATGCCCAGCGCCTCCAGTGTCTTTTCCGAAGAGTGATGCTCCTGAGGAAGCACTTGCCATTTCAATTTATGTGTGAGCTAAAGCTTTTTACAAACCCAGTGTTTGTAGAAGTCATTGACAGTTTACTGACGATCTTAGCAATCGGTTGGCATCTACTAAGCTCTGGGAAGATAGGCTGATATCCGGAAGTTGTCTTGTCAGTGTTTCGTGGTGACTCCGTTTTGTCTAGAGATGAACTGGAGAGTATGAGAATCTACAGAAAGAATATTACTAGTGAACAATGACATGTCGAGACTCTCATATTTTTTCCTCTGTCGGCTGAACATTAGCGAATGGACGTCTCGTTTCAGGAGATTTCAGCACGCCTTTTAGTGACGCTGGGAACGGCTCCTCCAAAAGCGTTCCGTCAACATCGCCACTGTTTGGCTCACTCTCCTCTAACGAGTTGCCAAAATGGACTCGGCAGAACTAAACACACGTTAGTCTGGAAGGATCAGATCAGGGCCCGGCACAGATCGTCTGGAAGCAGGCTGGACTTCGTCTTTAGAGCAAAAAGCAAAGTAGATATCGTTTTTGACGAATCGGTGCCGAACATCAAGAATAAGCGCCATTTAGTCGAACACAAGCTTTTCGGACAGATTCACGATTGACATGCTCTATCATTTATGGCGGAAAGTGCACGCGATTTGAAAGCAAGGCTAAAATAAACAAATTGCTTGCTTACAGCGCACACAGAATCATATGACACCAAAATTGAACTGTATGCATAGGAAATTATTTGAGGAAGAATTATGCAAAAAGTTCTGGAAACTTATGTGAAGGAATACCTTTTCCAAATTTAGATCGTCTCCAGGCGGCCACCAGACGATCTGACATGAGATCGTCTGGAGCATATATTTTCGTCACTTCACATAAGTTTTGGATTTTTCTATCACGGACGGATGCCCCGGTCAAACATCTACTTTTGAGCATGAAAACATTTTCATATCATTGCCTTTCCTTTGTTTTTTCCTTTCTTCATGAATCGCTTTGTTAAATTGCGCGCTCCAATGCCAAACTCTCATGCATGCGTAGTATTCAGCTCCAATTTGGATTTTCACACTTACTTCACGTTTTTTCTTCATATTAGTAAACCTCTCTCGTTTTCATCTTCTCTAAGTAGGTGTTAGGTCAAAAGGGACTTCGTAAAATTTCTGAAAGTCAGGGGAGACTTCATTTTCAGAAGCCTTCGAATCCAACTCGTGCCGGGCCCTGGATCAGATTTTTGAACCTCTTATTCGTCTTGGTGGCGAGTATTCCTATTGAAGCGTTTTTTTTATTTCTCTAAGGCCCCGGCCAGACTCCGCCCGCGCCAAAACCGCCCAAAAGAGACCAAATTCCTCTAACTTCTCTTCACTTTTTCTCATGTCTCCTCACACGTGAAAGTGAAGAGAATCTAAAGAAATTTAGGCATTTCGGCGCTTCTGGGCGCTTTTGAGCGAAGTCAGGCCGGGGTCTAAGTACGTCTGTATGATAACGTTAGTCACAGTGGTGATGAAGCCACTTAATTTGAACAAAAAGTAAAAAATTTGCAATTGCAGGTAAGTTACAAGTGAGATCTAAATATGATGTGTGTGTGTGTAAAAACCCTAAAGTAAGATGTGTGTGAAGACAACTAGTGCGAAAATCAAAACTTGCCGTATCAAAGTTTAGCTTTTTTGAGCTCCTCCGCTGTTGATGGTTGGTGTTCTCAGAAGAAAGATCGGGTTTCACTAGATCAGTCTTTTCGCCATTCAAATCCTCGTGCGCGACTGTGATACCGCCATCTGCTTGTACCCCATTTGGTAGATCAGAATAAGCAAGTTCAGTTGGCGGGGGTAAGCAGCCTCCGTTCGCAGAACTGAAAGGTCGCAAATTTTCGTAACATCAACAGAACATTAGATTCTTTCGATCATGATTTTGCAAGACAGTAGGACAATGCAAAAGTTGGATAGTACAAAAACTTTTCGGAACATCATCATTTGAAAAGCCAATCAGGATTTGCTTTCGCGTTCGCTAACGAAATGTGCAAGGCGGCTGACATGATTCGCTTCAAGTGCCCACGCTTTTGGCCCAAGTAAAGGCTACTGCATGACGAAGGCGCAGAAGCAGTTTCAGTTGGGCGGGCGCGAACGCGGCGCGCGCGTATCCTCACCGTTGTAAATCCTGCGCCTCACGCGCTCTGAGCCGCGTTCGCTCCCAGAGGTATTGCGCCTTTGTCATGCAGCAGCCTGTCGTATAATAATGGTTAGTGCTCCACGTGTATAATGGTTAGTGCTCCACGTTGTGGCCGTGGCGACACAGGTTCGATTCCGGTCTTGGGCAGCTCCTTTGCAGTATCATTAACTTTGAAATTCAGCGTTTTGAGCAATTATATATTTGAAGCAGTAACTTGCGCAGATGCAAATTGCAAGGCTGTTCTTCCTTTTCCAAAGCCGTTTCAAAGATAACGAAGAGATTTTTTCAGCATGGCGCAATATTTTTAACCTTTCAAAATGACAAGAGAAATTTGAATCTACAAAATGATCGAACTCACGCAGACTGGAAACACTCCAAATCAAATTCTTTTCCAAGGTTAGCAATAACTGCCGACTGTGATTCTTCATCCAGAAAAGGCATGCGATCGCTGAGATAATAGGTTAGAGAAACAAGAAAAACAAGGACTGTCGTACCGTTTTGCGCTGAACACTTCCTTTTGCCTTTCAGTCAGCTTCATTTTCTTAGCGGATTCGCTCGTGCCGATGGGAACATAGTCAACGTAATCCTCCTCAAGCGATCCAACGATCTTACGACGCTTTGCTGCTGATGTCTGCAGCGATGAGCTTGGCTGCGGACTATCTCTGATCTGTGAAAATATACAACTTGAGATCAATAAACCTACAAGAGCTGAACACAAAGTATTCGAATTATTTCTGTTTTTTATGAATGCCAGTAATGGCAACGAAATGTTAATTTCAAATAAAGGGAAGTTACGCGGACAACGCTTACGGCTAATTTGATGCTCAAAAATGACAAAGGAGCAAAAACAAAATGCAACCTTTCCAAAACCTCCTTGGAAATATTCGAACTGGGTGAACCCGAGTACCTCTTCTTTTTTCAAAATTTTGTCCGCAAATGGAGAAGTAGGCAATTGCATCTCGTTCTTCATTGGAGTGATGTCATTAGGATATTCTCGTGCCCTCTTCATGGAAACTTCTTCTTTAACATTCGCTGGAGCAGCGAATCTCTTAGATCTATAACAGGAGATAGAATAGACTGGTACAACATTGATTTTCATACCTTCTTCTACGGACGGGATCTTCATTTACTTCTGCACAAGCGTTGACAGTGCCTTGACTGGACTGTGAAGCGAGCGATGAATTGGACTAGAAAAAGAATCGCATTGGGGCAAGTGCTGAGCTTGGGAACAAAACCTACATGACTCTCGGTTATTTCCTGATACTCATTGATATCACTGTTATTTATTGACTTTCTAGGTAGTCCAGCTGCGAAAACTATTCGTTTCTGTGCAAGATTGATGAGAATTTTCCTACAAACATTCTGAGCTTTAGCAGCCAAAGCGAAATGGATCATACAACCTCAGTTCTATTGGGTAGTTGAACACCGCCTTCGCAAATGTATTGTTCCAAAGCTCCGCAGCTGCGTCTCGAAGTTTAGCATGTTTTCCGTGCATGCCACCCAGCAACTGGACAAAGAACGGTGCACATTCGTTGAGCATACTTTCGTCATAAGGACCAAAAGCCTTCGTTTTCACAAGTTTTAAAACCTAAAAGTATTTGCAAAAGACGGAAAATTAATGCGAGCACGAAACTCACAGTGAGATAAGCCTCAAACGCAGGACCCGCAATCGTTTTAAAACGCACATCTTCAGTGAAGATAAGAGAGTACATATCCTTCAACAAGCCGGACATGGACAGGAACAGATTACGAATCTAAATCAAAGAAATAAGCATACGAGAGAACGAAATTTCATCTTATCACTCACTATGCTAGGTTTTTCTATGCTCTGAAACAGCTTCATGACGACGCTGACAATGCTTGAAACGTCCTCCAAGATTGATTTCGAAAGTTTACTGTCCTTCTGCAAAGTTGGTTTGTAAAGCTCTTCAATAATTTAAACACTCATAAGCACTCAATCAGAAAAGTCAATACACGGTGTGCAAAATTATCGTGGACATTATGGGAGTCCGAATCTTAAGAAATGTCTCCTAAGGCTGGTAAAACTGATGAAACGTAAAGTTTCAAACTAGCTACTACATATTCGTACAAGCCTAACAGAAGTACCAAACTGTTAAAAACTACCTCTATCGTGCTGATCATCTCGATAAGCTTTCTACCCACTGTGGCCACGGCTTTGATCAAGGGAGTGATTTCTCCTAATGCGCTGAACTCCGAGGAAGCTGCTAAAATAGCAGAGAATCAACCAGCCAAAGGTAAGCTAATGATCATGACACCTACCACAAAACACATCGTCTTCGTTGATGAAATTGAAGGGATATACTTCCATCAAAAAAGCGAAAGCAGAAGTGTAAACATTAATGCAGCAAAACTGCAAAAGCTTCGTGCCAGCGATGGTATCCGCAATAGGAACGACTTACAGTCTCTGGTAATATCAAGTCGTCATAAAGGCCTTTAAGAATAATTTCAGCGCTGTATCCATGCTCATGTCGTATACCAGTCTGGGCCTCAGAATAAAGCCCTCCAAAAGAGGTGGTGCATTTTTGCAGGACTTTTGCATCGACTTCCTGAAATTAGAAACTTTGTAAGCATCTTCAATAAGAGAAACAAAAAAGCACCTCCTCAGCTACGTTTGCAATTCTAAAAATCAATCGTAAAAGACCAAAGGAAGTACGAAAATCCGGTCGAATAAGGCCACCTTCGTTTATGTCGCCACTCTAGAATCAAAAATGCTCAAGTGATATGAAATCCTATGAACTGAATTTGTATAAAAAACCTTACTTCACCAATAAAAACCTTTGTAATATCCGCTAGTTGAGTCCATGCCTTTACAAGCGATATAACTTCAAATCGTTGAAGATGTTTTTCCATTAAATCTGACAATTCACCCACGCGTTTGAGAACATGATTTTTGAAGACATTTAAGAGTGTTCCAGCTGTAGCTTCCAGAAGATGGCTAAAACATAACTAAAAATGGAACGACGGCTTGCTAAGCTTCAGTACCTGATTCTGCCTCCTATGTATTTTTCTAAAAGCGAGTTCAGCAAAGCTTTCGCTGACCATTCAGTGGGAGTATTGGCATACATGAACAGGTCTTTGGTAGTTAAAAGGTCACAAAGAATCGGCTAAAAAACATTTAGGTAGCTGATAAGCAAACGATGGCGTGAGTACCTCCAAAATCTTCAAGGCGTAATTATTTTCTTCAACCCAAGCCTGCACCTGCTTAAAAAGTAAGCGAGATTCGCTCGTTTTTACTGCGACGTCTTCAATGGAGCTGATACGGCGCGACAAAGCAGCGAAACATGAACCTATCAGTGCTACATCGTATGCTGAAAATAAAATCCAAATAAACTTGAAACCACTAATTTTACGATTAACTTCAACTTGCCATGATTGCGATTGCGACCGGCTAAGCGAAGCATTTGTCCCAAAAAAACTGCATATTTTTGCATTATGTCCCGTCTATTGCCACAGGAAGGAATTTGCACAGGGATATCTAAGCTCGGAATATCTATAAGGATGTAAAAAAATTTTTTTTGGGAGCCTACGTGTGGGATGACCATTGTAAGCAACTCCGAGAACAGCGCTAACGGTAGGAAGTATGTACAAGGAATCGGATGTATTGTAAGTTCTGTCGTCAGTTAGGTATCTAAAGGGTATATTTCATTACATCAGCTACAATGTCTGATGCTAAGAATAAAGCAGAGAATCTGCAAAACATTTTCTCACCCTAAATGTGAAGGGATAGCGCAATTGAGAATGAGCTGCGAAGAGTCAATAGATTTCCTTAGTTCATACTCAATTTCTGCGCTTGTGGTGAGCACTTGGGCTTTTCTGCCAGCAAGAAAGCGAAGAAAGCAGATGATGAGCTAAATTGCATTTGTAGAAGATCGTACGATTAGATAATGAGTTCCACCTCTTCGAAACATTCATCCAAAACATCTCTGAATGTGCTGATGAGAAATGTATAAGTTCTAATGATTGGCAACGTGTTTGAGAACTTATTGATTGTTGTTCGTGATCGTAAAGGTTTAGAGAATATTTGAATCAACTGAAGATATTTACCGCTCCTTCGTATATCTGAACATTAACATTAGTCTGATAGTGTGTGCATCGCTCTCCTCGCAAACCTTTTGAAAACTTCGGTGAAACGAAAGCAATCAGCGCTCTCCACTTTTCTAGACAAACCTCCACCGCTTCGCAGCCAGCATCGCCAAACCATTTCTCAATAGGACGAAAAATTTGGCCCCATTCTTGACTTGAAAGCTGGAAAACCGTGCTCTCAAGAAAGAACGATTTGAACTATATCTTACAATTAGGTACCTTGAACTGGGCACTGGCAATGAACAGTTCGGATAGAGCTAGCCAGATCTGAGCGCCAAAAAGCCTTATGTGTTCATTGGACATTTTCTGACAAAGGACTTCCAGAGTCGACCAGTCAGTGCTCACGCATGTTTTTACAGAGTCCAGTACTTTGGATGCCGATTTTCCTGGCAGATGACCAGGTTTTCTTACTGGAAGCCGAATATCATCTCACATGTGACGATTTTCATCCGAGCATCCAATGCCTTGGCTATACTTCGGCGATTTCGTTGCCACGCGATTTGGCGATTTGCCAGATGTGTTCAGATTCACTGCCCCAACTATTTTACGCGTATGATGCGCAAAACTGTAAAATGATGAAATGATTCAAATGATTGAAATTCTGCTGGCCCAGAGCGATAAGCTACAGATATCTGGAGATTGCCAAATCGCGTGACGACTGAAATCGCGCGAGGTATGCCCAAGGCCTAGTTTAAATCTGTGTTCCTCTCATTATCTATGGATGCAACTTGCAAGCAAAACGAAAATTGGAAGATATAGCTCACAAAATAGTCTTACCCGAAGCGATAAAATTTGCTAAGAGTTCATAAGTCTCTCCAATGCGAATAAAATCCGCAATCGAAGTTTTCGAGTTGCTGGTAGAGTCTGTGAAAATTTTCGGAAGTTTATCCGGCGACAGAAGGTCAGCTATTTGACTGGATCTTCAACGGCAATTGATGTGATGCAACAACACAAGCCTTGGAAAGCTCAAGAAAAAAAGTACTTACAATTTTTCATTTGGGTTGAGACGATATAGCGTAAGAAGTCGATTCAGTTTATTGACCGCCATACTACTCTGGAGCCTATGGGAATGACTCGCCCTCTTCATTCCGTAAAGGAGAATTCCGAAATGAGACTAAATAAATCTCTACTTAGGCTAACATCGGCTTCCAGATTCGCACGGAGGTGGAATCCTGCCAACGCACAGCGTGGTGGTTTTTGCGCGAGAGAGTACGGAAAGCAATGCTATACCTTGGAGGTTCAACAAGTTTATCTATGTTAACGGGCAAAGTCTGCAATACACCTCCACCCGAACCTGGGAGCCGACCACCTATGTATTTCGACATACATGAGAATCAGAAAATGTATATAGGCCCCCGTAAATCCTATTGTCCACGCATCGCTTTGAACAGCAACGCGCGGCGCGGCTGGGAACGTTCGGTCCCGAAGCGCTACAGGCTTTTTGCGAGCGACAATGAGTGCGCACCCTTTTCACACGTATTTTTTTTAACTTTTGAAGGGAGCTTTCGTCAAGATATACCTTGCATTGACGAGAACAACGAGAAAGTTATAGAAAGATTTTGAGTTTGAGTTGAGGTTGAGTTTTTGAATCTATTAAAATCGCGCCAGCGCTGCCATGGCGGGCAAAATGATCGGACGTAGTACCACCATGTTTGCAACTCCATCGTTTCTCGTACATTGCAATGTGGAATTGATTGAATGATGCACTTCGTGTAATATAATCGAGGCTTTAGGAAGAAAAAAGGGCTCCCGTTCGAAATGAGAATTAACTGGGCAGAAATATGGCAAACTTTCCGCATAATGAGCATTTTTGCGCATACTGAGTTTGGTAGGTCATGAAGTTGGGTTTAGGGGTTCCAAAACCTGAGAGTTTTTTTAGCAGGAGATTGTGGACATGCTGTTCGCATATCTCTTCTCCTTTCGTTTTGGTACGCTTCATGTGGAGTCAAACGGCTAACCGGATTCTCAGCTTGCACTTCTTGTCACTTAAAGGCCTATCCAACTCTCGCTCAAAAGCAAAAAAAAAGGAAATTGACTTTTCCCTTTCTCCAAAGATAGTATTTGTTAAAGGACTTCTCCTCCAACAAGTGTCAATAAGAACCCATGCGTTATCGATTTTTAGAAAATTTCATGATTTAGAATTTTGGCCAAATATATGCAAGTGCGTTGAGTTGAATCCTCTTGCCGAAATCTCAAAAAATTTAAAATAGTTTCTTTGGGGCCTATATGCATGAAACTCCCAATGGCAAAAAAGCGGCGTCCCCAATGATGAAAAGCCATAGCAGTGTTCGCCCGCGTCCCTTTTATGACAAGGAACGTCGCTTACTTCACCCCAGGTTTTCGGGCCTAATTTTGAAGGAAGTGGAGTTTTAAGGTAGTTCGTCAAAGAAAAGGTGGGAACAGACAGGTTCTAACAAAAACCATCACTGGCAAATTGCAGACATGGCACAGAATCTTTGCATTGCGCAGCGCATCATGTCTTTGGCCTGATTCGGTGGGCAGACTTCAAAGGTGTAAGTGGCACATTTTCTCAACAGCACCTTTGGGGCAAGATTCGAAAGCGATTAAGTAAGATCCGAAGGATGTGAAGAATGCGAAAAAATATCGGCATTTCGGTAGCCATAAAGGAAACATTTGGGTTGAAAGGAGTTGGGCGGGGGGGGGGGGGGCAGTCTGGCTCAAAGAACTCAGGAAGGACAACTAAACGCAAGTTTGCAAAGAAAGCTGAGAGGAAGCGATTGATTCATCACTTCTGTTATTATAACTTGGGAAACCATATAAAGCAAGATATTCCGGACACTTAACTCTGATAAGCTCCGAGTTCCTTAAGTGTCTGAGAAATCGCTATACTTTTGGAGGAGAAAAGGTTTCCACGTCAACTTTGAGAATCATATCCCATTTCACACACACAGCCAGTCCGAAGCCCCGCTTCGCGGCTGCATTTTTGTGAAAGTAGTAAGTAAATTTAAGTTAACGACTTCGATGAATCTCTGCTCGCAAGTTGGGGTTTATCGAAAAACTCAGATCTTTCACATTTTCTGTGTTAGGAAACATGGTCAGCATTTTCATAATAAGTCTTCCACAACTTTACGACGTTTTCATTCAGTTTTTGCAACGATAAATGACTTTGAAAATGGGCCGTGATCCCTGATGATCCCGTTCTATGTAGATCATACAAAATATCGAAATCTCAGCTCATACAGCAAATTGCTGCTATGCATTATGGTAGTACGATCGAATTCTAATCTTGTTATGGTTTGTGCATGGTTCCCACTTTGATGTTTGTTTATGTACGTCTCTGTGTATCGTATTACTTGAGTTGAGTCATCTATATGATGATTATCTGAAAAGAGAAGGATTTGGAAAATCGCTTAGGTGCCGGCATCCCGATGACATGCACCGGTTGGCTTTTAAAAAATATAAAAAAATCGGGGTCCCCCAAACAAATGTGTTAGAAAAAGCAAAGTTTCTTTTACAGTTCAGAATAAAAATAGAGAATTTAAAAATCATCGAGGCAGTTGCGGGCATTCCGATGACACGCCTCGCTTGACCTTTCAAAATACGAAAAAATCGGGGGCCTTTTTAAAAATGAAGACTTTGTAGAAAAGGCAAAGTTTCTTTTACAGTAACTGTACGTAGCAATAGTGCTCACATCGCCTTTAGAACGAAAATAGAGAATCTAAACATCGCTATAGTTCTCGGCATTTCCGACGACATGCCTTGGTTGGGTGCGTAGCAAGTGTTACCCAGGCAGCCGCCTGGTGCCGCAGCCAGCCGCCAGAGCTGGCACCAGCGTCGCGGCTGAGCTACCGTAAGCGCGCTCTCGTCGTCCGCAATCTCTCGCAGAGAGATTTTCGCAGCAGTCTCGCACCTCTCGCGCTGAGGTGCGAGAATTCCCTCAGAGGTCGAGCTACTGCCACATATTATACATATCGATCAACACAGCGGAAAATTTGTAGTTTATTAGTAATATACATTACAAAAAATATACAAAAACAAAAAAAGTTAAATAAATAAATTGATGGAATGATTACAAAATTAAATTGAAAGCATAATATCGTGGAGTAAGTTCATAAAAAATATAAAATAGATTGTTGGATGGTTTTTGGCACAATTCGTTGTGACCTTTGGGGCAGAAACTTCTAGCACCAACTAGGTCAGATATTAGAAAAAGTGTGCCACATATGGAGGTATAAAAGATGAAATGATGCTGAGCAGCTAAGATTCGAGGTGTCAAACTCTCAGCTTTAGGTAGGTGCCAGAGTAAGCGAATATTTTGTTCAAGTTGGGGTCCCGCGCAGAACTGGCGTTACTAATCACTGTGGCACAACGCCAAGTTGGCATTATGCCACAATGATTAGTGATGCCATTTCTGCGCGGGACCCCAACTTGAACAAAATATTCGCTTACTCTGGCACCTACCTTACAGCCTTCAGTCTGAGCATCTTGCTCAAATTACCTATGTAGAAAATCCGTCGCTTTTGGAGGTAATTTTTGATTTTTTGCCTGTTACCGAATCTTTTTGAAAATTTATCAATCCCAGAATCCGCTACCTGCTACAAGCCAGCTCTACTCTTCAGCTGCTGAAAATCGTTTTTTTCCGTGGAGAACTCGAAATAAGTGAGCAGGGGGTTCACCCTGTAATTGTATATGATGTCCCAGGCTCTCACCTTTGCTACGTTTTTCAATATCACAAAAAACTTCAAGGACCGACACGGCACTTTATACTTGTGCGGATGTAGGAGACAAAACAAGAAATGTATTTTTTATTTATTTAACTTTTTTTTGTTTTTGTATATTTTTTGTAATGTATATTACTAATAAACTACAAATTTTCCGCTGTGTTGATCGATATGTATAATATGTGGCAGTAGCTCGACCTCTGAGGGAATTCTCGCACCTCAGCGCGATGAGGTGCGAGGCTGCTGCGAAAATCTCTCTGCGAGAGATTGCGGACGACGAGAACGCGCTTACGATAGCTCAGCCGCGACGCTGGTGCCAGCTCTGGCGGCTGGCTGCGGCACCAGGCGGCTGCCTGGGTAACACTTGCACGCCTCCCGCCTTGGTTGGTCGAAAATGACAAAAAACCGGGGATCCCTCGAAACCGTAATTGTGATAGAGAGATTAGATGACTTCTTCGTGAATGCATAACAAATAATCTTGATCTCATAAGCTTTGGAACGCTGCGTCAAACAAAAGAATACGAGGTTTGTTATTCGAAGAAGTATTCTATACACGAGAATAGGCTGGACCACATCAAGTGCTTCCGGTCCTGGGATTTTCACTTGATTTTTGCGCACAAAAGTGAGTAACGTTGTAATCAAGGAATTAAGGTCGAATTGTTGTTTTTACAATAGAGCTATTACCAACATTACAGTAAGGACTTAAGAGAAAAAGCTTTCGTTTTCTTAAGATCGGCAGAAGCCTCTACGTAGCATTTACAGCAGCAAAAATTTATTAGCGATGAATCAACAAAATTCTCAGAAACCGTTTTTATGTAACTATGAGCGGATAAGAAGAGAGACTGTTCAGCGGTTTATTTTATGTGTGTACAATTAGTCAAGCATGCAAGACCAGAATGAGTGGAAATAGAATCGCAAAATTTTTTTCAAGCAGTATAGCTCAAACATGGCTTAGACCTCATAGAAAGGACGAAACATGAATTAGCGGAAACAATGAAAACAAAATGTCCGTGACTTTGCAAAGCGATTTGGTGCACGATTAATGGGATATGATTTCGATCTGCTTTCAGATATTTTTGCATGTGAAAATGCCCTAGAGATAAGGGTCTTAGCTAAAATTTGTTATGTTCTGTACAAATCAAGAGTACGATACGAATCCTGTGATTTTTGAATTATTTGCATACCTTCCTACTTAGGAAGGCGATAGTAGTCCTAAAATATTATGAGCATGTGAAAATGCTCAATATTTTAGGAGCTATTTGATAGAGCTTCACTATTGAAATACTGTCACTACCAGTTTGAAAAAAAGGGAATTTGTTCCAGCCTCGCCTAATACATAACTTTCTTCCTATTCAAATGTAACGAAATCAATACAGTGTTTCATGGTTTGCTACTATCAAAGTAAGTATGCAGCGATACATTCTTCAAGTATAAATTTTTACTTACTTGTTTGTCGGCTTTCCTTGGAATCACAAAAACTGAATGTCAAATCTGATGCAATGTTTGGGGTTCTTAAATCAAAGGAGCTCTATTCGATTTATCATAAGGTACAATTATCATGATGTTTCGACCAGGGTCAAGCTTGTGATGCGACTGTCGCAACGGGGGGTCGTAAGAGGGCATCTAAGGTGGGGGGGGGGGGGTCGTAAGAGGAGGTAGTTAGACTAAAATACCCTAGGCTTCAAAGGGAATCAAAAAGCAAGCAATTGGTTATGTTCTTTACAATAAATGTACCGATTGCCCTAGAAATCTTGCTTCTGAAGCCTTCCTGAAGTCTCACGCACTCGACAAAAGCGAATGTCTTTACCAGCTGTGACCATCATAAAATCTAAATCTTTTTGTAATGTTTACGGGCTCATATGATTTATCTCTACTTTAGAGATGCTCCGCTATATCATTGCAAAATTTGGTGTTATTTTGTCAACTGTGGATTTTCTTATGATTTTATGAATGGCAGCAAAAAGTCAGGAGAGGGGGGTCGTATCTGGGTCGCATATAAATTTCTTCGGAGCTATTGAAGCTTGTTGGCTGCAATTCTGCTGTAATATAAGGCCATCCTCCTACTTTCCCTCGTAAAAATTGCAGGCTGTTTTATAACTTCTCTGGTAAGTTACAAAATTCCAAGGTCAAAAATCCCACTTTTTGCTTTCTAGGATCGCATCTAAATTTGCGAGAGTCGCATCTAGATTTTTTCGAGCTTACTGCACCTCAAGAGCTGAAACTTTTTCTTTGGATAGTCTGGGCACTATACTACAGAACCTGTGCTTTGCAGCCTCTCAGTCTTTTCCTGGCCTTAGTTACGAATTTTCAAAATACCGTGCTCATGCACGTTTTTGACGTCGTTCTGGACGGCTCTCAAGCGGTTTTTTTTTCGCGGGAAAAACTGTGGAAGAGGTAGGAAGTAAGCTTCTTAGTCGAAAACATCTTTTGTAGTTTCAGAATGTCATTTTTTTTCTCCGTGCAAAAATTTGTGTCGCATACGGGATTCGAATTTGCTGGTCTGAAGTATGCCTGAAAATTCAAAAAAAAAACTTGCAGAATCTCAAACATTATTAAAGGTGTATATGTGTGCTACAGATGATGGACGCACCCATTGGCCTAGAAATTCTGCTTCCGAAACCTCACGAAGTTCTCACGCAGGTGTTTTTTTGAGATTGACATTCGTTTATGCAGGTTACCGCGAGGAATGTGGGCAGGGGAAGTAAGGGGGATAAATGAGTGAGGATGGGGAGGGGGGGGGGGAGGGGGAAGGGCGGGGGGAGGATCGTACGGATGGTTACCTTCAAGGGAGGGGGGTCGTAAATGAGGGTTCCGGATCGCATCAGCACGCTTGACCCTGGTTTCGACATTCTAAGCTATATAACAAAAACTTGACATTTATGTGCAAATTAATTTGTGTAGTTCCTTCTATGGACTGTCAATGGAACAACGGGATCAAGCTTTCTCTAGTCATGCAAAACTCGAAAAATGATACAAGAAATTTGTTAAGCTCTGTTGATGAAGAAGAGCAGGCTAAATCTACAATCAGGTTACTCGGCTAGGAATCTCTTCATGGTGAAAGAAGTCTGCCCTATGCTGTTAAGTAACTATTGTAAAGCTATCTTAGACACCCAGAAAATTGACAAAATCCACTTTTGTCCAGAAAACCGTAGGAACGGTTACCACTCACCAACATCTATATAGACATGCTGAAGCCAGCAAAGATTTTTGCTCCAGTCACTGACAAAGCACATGATTCCATCTCTCAAAAATAGATTGGATCGAGAGAATTCTATGCAGATGGAGGAGAATACAGATTTGCAGGAATTATTGCAATACTTATGTTCTGAATCAATACTTTGTGATGTAAATCTTTGTGAGTGTCGAAAAAAGTGAAGTTAACAGCACAATTGACACTTTCTGGTGGAAAAAAAGGAGGACACCGTTGTTTGAAGCAGTTCACCAGAGGACAACAAAAGCGTATCATCCAGGCAGTTCACAAGGAATAAAAGGTGGCGGAAGACCACTTCGACATATATAATACACTGCATTTAAAGACATTTATTGCTGTATTATTTCAAAGTGAACTTCAACTGAGGTTTTGATAGTGAAATCATAACATAAGTGGTCAAAGTACGATTAGATACAGAGCAACTAATAAAGACATAGTTATCCAAAAATAGGTTTTGGTGTTAATTACGCTGATCTCCGCTCTCGGAATTTGTCCGACTTTGCTCCACTCCTTCCAATTCCAGTCGAGCTGAGCTTCAGCTCACATTCAGCCAGGAGGGAACAGAGCAATCTGCAATTCGTCAAAATTGATTTTCGAAAGATTTTTTGAATTTGAAAATTTAAAAAATTTTCAACATTACTCCAGTATCAGCAGCTACTGAAAGCAGTTTGATCAGACAAGGAGGTAATTTGTGCAATAGCGATAAGTCAGGAGCTGCGAAAAGATGATGCTTTTTGTCGTTATAGTACCCCACGACAGTTTCTTAGATGTTGAATCTTCGTAGATAAAATTAAGATAAAATTTATTTCGGGAAGGGTTGTTGGAAAAAAACTTACAAGGGAAGGAAGGTAGGTCGAAGTGGCCTTTTGAAATGTGATGTATACTGCCTTGTAGAGCTTGGAACGCGGATTCCAAATCTACCTTTGCTATCTGCTGTGGTCATCTGGACGAGGAGTTATGAAGGTTTTGTGAGTAAAAATCTGAATGCAGGAGTAGGCTAAAATCAGTGTTAGCATTTTTTTATTGGGCTTAATTGGTAGTCAGGTCACTCGGTGCAACATATATTCTTGATTCATATATACCAATTCGCTGCTGCCTCATTTGAACATTGGGGAAAGGTTGTAGCTGATTTTACCCTATTTTTGCGTTCAGATTTTTACTCACAAAAACCTTCATAACTCCTCGCCCAGAAGCCCGCAGCAGATAGCAAAGGTAGATATGGAATCAGCGTCCCAAGCTCTACAAGGCAGTATACATCACATTTCAAAAGGCCACTTCGACCAACCTTCCTTCCCTTGTAAGTTTTTTTCCAACAACCCTTCCCGAAATAAATTTTATCTTAATTTTATCTACGAAGATTCAACATCTAAGAAACTGTCGTGGGGTACTATAACGACAAAAAGCAGCAAAAAGCAGCTGACCTGCTTAGGATTAGAAATTGAAGCTACTGGTGATTTCTGAACCTGAGCCGACGATGGGCCTGCTTTTGAGGAAACCTCGGAACTTCTCGGGCTAGAACAACTGCATTAAGTTGCTGACGAAATTGTGCAGATAAACACCACACCAATTTTCCGGTCTGCTTCTTCTAGGGGCCGATAGGCGTTTGAGCATTGCATCCACTTCAGCTCTCGAAAGCCTCCTTGGCGTGGATGACGCCACATTCGCTGCCTGAAAAGTATGCAAAAATTATATTTCCATGACACTTAACTTTTTCAAAAAAAATCAACACTGAAAGTGTCAAAATTTGAAACTATAAGACTAACCTGCCGAAGACAACTGTGGCCATGCAATGCATGAAATCTAGGATGTGTTGGCACCAACGGCCGATGAGGAGGGGCTTGCCCTGAACATTGATAAGGCTTGTGCTTACCATTGTTTTGTAGGGATTGATTTCCCCTATCCAATAATGTGCAGCATGCCCCAATTAGGGCTTACATCAAAATAAGGACACAAGTTTTCTTTATCTAAAAGCACTGTCCGGAAACTTTCTTCTCAACCTAATATAAACGCTTTACTGGATTACGTAATCAACGCAACTTCAAGACGCTTTCGTTTATTTCGCTGGCAGGCCGTTGTTGTATACCTTGATACTCATTGTCAGCTGCGCTTAGTATCAAGGCATACTTCTTGGAGTCATATCAGGTATCACAGAAATCAATATAAGTATCATTAGAGGATAGAAGCTGAAAAAGCGGCTTATACAACAGTAGACTCCGTTTGGTAGATTTGAAGAAGGTGATAAAAACACTTGAAACTCGCTAAGCAACGTAAAATTCTTATTTGTGGACCAGTGGATAAATCCTTCTTTTTATTACCTGGATGCATGCGGCTCCTAATGCCATATGGATCATAACATCTATAATATAAACCCGATCCCAAAACACGCGTCGACTAGGTTGGCCCGCCTACATGTATGCTTCAGCATTTGTTTTGAATAGACGCCAATCGCCGAACGGGGCCTTATTGTGTAGATACGCGACGGTGCGACCATGAGGTCAGGAGGAGACAGAGGTCCTAGCGCGAAAGAGAGACCACGATACGCAGGGTACGCTCTACTGCTGCGATAGTTATGCTGAAATACGCAAACGGTTCCAAGTGTGATGAAATATGCGAGATGGCGATTCAAAGTTAGTTATGGATAGAAGCATACCATTTATAGATCCGTTCATATCCCATCTCAGTATTCTCGTATTCACAATGCTCTCGTTCGTCTTCTTCTTCCCGTTAATGTCAGCTGAGTTATTTTTGGAACTATTTTCCACTTTTCGGTCAAATTTTGAGAAAGTCTGTGAAAATCTCGTTTTTGAAAGCATTTGCTCTGGTTGAATTCAATTTTTCTTGCAATTCAATGCAAAGACATACTCTATGGCGAAAATTCTATGGAAATGAAGGTTTTCTCGGTTTTTTTTCATGGGCATTGTGGGGGATAAACAAAACTTTTCGTTCCAAAAAGTGGTCAGCCACAGAGAGAGCCTGCCGGAGCTCAACCAGCGAGTATACAGCAGAGCTTTTTCTATCTCCTCAAATGTTTGGCATATGAAAGACTGACAGCTTTTGCAAAACATCAGCTTGCTGGGTCTAAAATAGCTAAATCTGCTGAGACTGTGCAAATTGGACTAAAAGTATGCCATCTAAAAAGGGAAGCTTGTTAAGTCGAAGTGTCCGTTTTGAATGAGATGTATGCCATATCAAAGGGCATAAAACGCTGATTCCAAAACTGCCTTTCCTATCTGCAGAACGTTTACGGACGCGGAGTTATGAGCGTTTTTTGGTGCCAAAAATTGAATGTGCAATTTGGACAAAATGAGTTGCTAAAGTCTTAGTAGCCCTCAAATCATGCAATCAAGCGTGATATATTTTTTATTTTAAAGTTTTTTTGGGTAAGTGCTCTGGTGATTAGCTGCTCCATTGGAGAGCTAGAAAAATTATTACGGCTGTTTTTACCTTACTTGCACATTCAATTTTTTGTTCCAATGACGCTCATAATTCCTCATCCATAAATGTTCTGCAGATAAAGAAGGCAGATATGAAATCAGCATTTTATGCCCTTCACTACGGTATACATGTCATCTAAGAAGGCCACTTCGACTAAAGATGCATTCCTTGTAAGTCATCTGGAAAACTTTTAGGAAGAAATTGAAAGCTCTTCCGTCAAACTGCGCTGCAACCCTCTCCCCTCCGTGTTTTCAACCCCCACTCCTGCCCTGAGGGCTTATCAGCATAAGCATATTTTGCTTTCTTTCCGAAAAGTTTCCTTCAAAAATTCTCCCAATTTTCCTAGTTCCTTATTTCTTCAAACTGTGCCACACTAATCATATTCTTGAGGTTTTCATATTAGACTTTTATCAAAATTTATGCATACCCAGCGAGAGTAATCTCAACCTCCCAACCCACTTTCCGCTTTTCTATTACTTATTTTCCCCAATGAATGTTTTTCGCAAAACCGTGCGCAAACGTCTCTGGCCCCTTTGAGGTCAGGAAAAAATCTGACACTCATTCCTTTCATTGAAAATGTCTGAATGTCCCTGAATTTATCAATAAGTAAATTTAGCAATATCAAAGGGTTTGCGTCATATTTTGTTAGTTTCGTTTACCTTTAGACTACATCCCAAAAACTACTCTTGAGCTTTCCATGTCAGGACCGCTCAGAGCTTTGATCTCGGATTTGCTTGGAAACGTGCGTATATCTTTGCCTTTGCTGGAGGTGAAGTGCAAATCTCCCTAAGTTATCCCACTCTCCTCCCCCCCCCCCCCTTCTTTCGTATCAACTTTCTCTACGCTACCCTCATCTCAATTTTGTGGCATTTCAAACCATCTTTTTCATATTTGCAGCATTGGAGACTCCATCTTGCTTTCCTTTAGTTCACAATGATTTTTGTACCTCATCCAATATGCTTTCTGTAATTTGATTAATGTCAAAACTGCAAAATCTTGCAAGCGGAAGCTATCCGGCTCGCGTTGCTGCTCGCTATTGCGATATTGTGATCTAATGCATAACGAAAACAGCTGGGTAACCTTCCCCCTTCCCAGTTTAGCTTGTCTAGCAAGTCACTTTGCTGGTTAGGCTTCTCGATCAATACCATCTAAGACTGCCATCATGAGCCACGGCTCGGTGCATCTGCACCGGCACATAACGACAAAGTTGTTTACGTCTCATCTCGCCTGCGGAAAGGGGGGGGGGTATCTTACATGCATGAGTCATCTCTAGCGCTTTATTATAGAGAGATATGTAGTTGGAATCAGCTTCAGACGCTGACTCCAAATATGTTGTTCCTAGCTGCGGCATTTCAAAGCGAGTTATTGATTCTGTGCAAAATTAGTATGCTCTTTGACCTATTACTACAATTACGGCATCATCATCTAGATGTTAATCTACTGCGTCTCTTGCCTGACAAAGGACTCAATCTGAAATTATTTTAGTATCCCAGTACGGTTTTACGCAGATTTCCATGTACCAGCCTTCCCATGTTGGATAGTAAGCCAATTTCGCAAAAAAGCTCATAACTCCTTTCAGAGTAAAGTGCCACAGCTAAGGACAGCATATTTGAAACCAGCGTTTGATGCTGATCAAATATATGTGTCCCATGTCAAAAGGCTAACCTAAGTTTAAACTTCTCTTGTTAGAGACTAAAATGCATATCAGGACATCAATAAGCACTGTCTTACTTTTTCAAAGATGGGGAGGGACGTAGGCAACCCCTGGCTTTGCGATCCCAACTGTCACCTTCTGACCCAATTCACCTGCGGTCTGAATACGAATACTAACCTTTTTTGTCGAGCAATCCAGCTGACTTTATCTCCGCAGGAGGATTTGAAGTCAAATCCTTGACTTCAAATTTGTTGTAACCCGTCATCGGTCGAAATTTCACCTAAAACCTGTAAAATTCGCCATTTTTGGGCTTATATAGTTGCCCGTGTGCCCTCACGATACAGGACTCTCCGTGATCGCGAAGGTAGGTGAGTTTGCGACTTGCATGCGCAGGATATGTTGCAAATGCAAGGCCTCAAACCAGTTTAACAACCCGTACTTCTCAGAATATATTAAGGCGATTGAAAGCTAAAATCTGATAGAACAAAAGCGTTCAATAGGAGGAAAAAAACTGGAAAAGTTTGAAGGATGAACATTGGGCGCAAATTCATCGACCTTCGCGACCACGCAGAGCCCTTATAAACAAAATTCAAATGCCCACAGCCGCAAGCACCATGTATGACACGATTTTCTGCATTTTCCCAAGATAATCTGCATCCTACAACATATCTCAACGTTGTTTCTCATCAATTCCATGAATGACGAGGACCAGAAAAAGTAGTAGGTGCCTTGAGGCTTTTCCTTAGATACCAACGCAATGAGCTTCAAAGCCCTTGTCGCACTGGCACACTCCACGTTGGCGTAAATGCTTCAAAGACAGCGTCCAGGCAGATCTGGACCTAAGGGGATTTTTCGTGGGAAGTACTTTTGGGGCACTAACTAAGCCACTGCCCAACCGGCAGCTAGGTAGTGCCCTAACGGCTGAGATATTCTCCTCGAAACTGGACCCCGCGACCGTATTTCGCATGGATTCATGGCGCAAAGCGTGGATCCTGGCGCGAAACTGCCATGAATCCATGCAAATACGTTCACGGGGGCCAGTTTCGAGGGGGATATCTCAGCCATTAGAGCACTACCTGAGCTGCCGCTTGAGCAGTGCCTTAGTTAGGGCCCCAAAAGTACTTTCCACGTAAAAGCCCCATAGCTCCAGATCTGCCTGGACGCTGCCTTTAAGTAAGGCACTGCCCAAGCGGCAGCGCAGGTGACTGACTAACGGCTATACCTCCAAATGGATCCCAGGATCGTAATTCGCATGCAATTATGGCGCAACCCATCTGCTTCGCGCGAAGACCCACGCGAAACTGATGGGTTCCGCCATGAATCCATGCTAAGTACGATCCTAGGGTCCAGTTTCGAAGGCAATATCTCAGCCGCTAGAGCACTATCTGTTGCCGCTTGAGCAGTGGCTTAGTTAGGGCCCCAAAACTACTATCCACGTGAGATCCATATGTCCAAATTTGCCTGGACTCTGCCTTTAAAACCACGCGCAAAGGCAGCTCAAAAGGTGCAGAGGCACGCAACAAGATAGTATCGTCGATTCGTTGATCGCACAGATTGCTCAAACGTCGCGGACCAGGCGCGGCGAAGCTGAAATAATGCAAGAGCACGACTTGTACTACAAAATTCGGACAAGCGTTTTATTCGCGGCGGGTGCTCCGCAGTAATGTCCAGTCCTTGTGGTCAACGAACCGATGATACCTTCTACGTACTAATCGTTGCTGCAGAAAAATGGTGCTGCGTGCGGCGAGATTTGAATTTCGCGAAAACGGACAACCGGAGACAATCTCAGGGTGCAGTATAGTGACCGAACCGTGACTGAGAATCCGAATTAGGCAGCAAAATTTGAAAAACATAAATTAATGATCGAGAGCCACTGGTCCGTTTGAATGTCATAGCTATCTCAAACATTTCGTCTACGGCACCCGCGCTTTGCGGGTGGAGGAACGAACACCTCGTCGAAGGGATACCTCCGGCGAGCACCGCGAGTCTGCCACTTCGCGCTCCGGAGCCCTGCCATTTCACGCATTTTTGTGCTGCGGGGCTCTCCCAAAAGTGGCGCACCTCCGGAGCAGAGATTTGCGCGTCGCGGAGAGGGGTCCCATTCATTCACCGTGACGTCACGGTGACGTCACAAACAGGACGAATGGGACCCCTCTCCGCGACGCGCAAATCTCTGCTCCGGAGGTGCGCCACTTTTGGGAGAGCCCCGCAGCACAAAAATGCGTGAAATGGCAGGGCTCCGGAGCGCGAAGTGGCAATCCTCCGCTGGGAAAGCCCGCGACCCTGCCACTTCTGCTCCGGAGGTATTCCATCGACTGTCTGAATCAAAGTCTTCGAATCTCGGCTGGCTACTGAACGCCACGCACCCCGCGAAAGGGTGAAGGGAGCTGAGATTTGGAGATGATCTTCACTGGCTGTGAATGGTATAATTTGTAGCCGCCTAGCCAATGTCTTGTTTACGGATCCCCATGATTTCCACGTAAGGTACGTATGTGTACAAATTTTATTGGACGCTATCTCAAAGCAAATGAGAATGTAAAGTGTTACCGAATAAAGGGCTTATCTCTTTTCTCCTCAATGAAAAGTCACATTAGAAAAGATGACTAACTACGAAAGAAGAAATTGTTGTGGATATCTTGATCGTGACATTTACACTGACATTGACTAAGCAATTACAGATCTTTGATAAAAGCACAAAAAAACCTCGCAGCTGCGTGGTGTCAGTCTTTATCTGCTCTGCTTCGAATTTTTGTATTATACTGTTCCAACACGGACGACCGTTCCCATTTTTTTGTATTCTGCTGCTCAGCTAGTATTCGGCATAGTAAATTGTCCATCAGAAACTTTTGCAGAAGAATCTCGAATTGAGCACATCGGACGCAATAATCGACGTCGCCAATTGCTTCAGTCAACGACAACGCTATCGGCTATTTTTGAACGTAGATCTTTCTTTGGGCACAATCGAAAATGGTGTTTTCTCTAGTGACTCAGGTAGGAGAAGGTGTAGGAAACCTGGGACATTTGCGAAAATAATATGAGGCGAGACTCCGTAAGCACAAAAACATCTTGGAGAAAATTTGTTAATCATTATCAGGCTATCTTCAACTACACGATAAAGCACAAACAAAGAATATACAAAGGGTTTACTTCTCCAAAAAATTGCTTAGATTTGTTCTGGTTAATTCCATTAAAAAATCCTCGATGTGTTGGCCTTTTCGGAAGAATCCCAGTCCGTAAGCATCAAGCGAAATGAAGACCGACTGGGGAACAAAAGTGGTTCAAAGCTACCGCTTTGTCAATTCCGCGAACGATGAGACGAAGAAATGGACAAGACTTCATAACATCCGAGGTCAACAATGACCTATTTTTTGCTTTGAAGTCAAGGTATGTTGCATTGTTTTCTGAACATCTAAGGGTCAATTGTAGTCTCTTTGAGTCTGCTCGTCTGCTCATGGCTGGACGCACAGGTGAAGCTTTCTCAGCTTTTATAGAGTGCAGCTAGCTGTCTGTTAGGACTAATGCGATGCTATCATCTTTCTTCCTATGCTGTTCCTGCACATGTTTATTTGTATATTTTTTTCGTTTGTGCTTTGTCGCCTATTTGAAGATAGCTTGATGATGATTGATAAATTTTCGCGAAGATGTTTTTGTGTTTATTACGGAATTTTCGGCTAATAATTGTATTCGCAGAACCTAGCCATATTGATCTTTACTTCGAACAGAAGTTCTCTTTCCTTACCAAATGCCATAAGAGCTGCGAAATTTTGTGTTTGTTTGGCTCCAGAGAACATAAAGATAAAGATACTTCATTTTCGCTCTTCTCATATCATAGCCTGACTTTTCTTACTCTCACGTTCCTAAGTAGAGCCTTCTTGCTCTTTAATTCGAGATCAAAAAAGCCGATTTTTCCAATCAAATCAGGCTTGAACACTCCCTCGTAAATTATGATAACAAACGAGCTCAATTTCACGCAAGCTTCAGCAAGCATGATGCAGTTTTCTAGTCATTGTTTCATAAATATCTCAATCAAGGTTTTCAAGAAATGTAAGAGTACAAACAGCAAATCGAAAAAATAAAAGTAGTACGTTTAGCCCAATATTCGCTGTTTTTGCTTGATTATTCTTCCTCAAAGATTGGAAGTTCAAAAAAAATTACAAAGAATTCTGAGTTGAGACAGATGATGACAAGCTTTGGCAATGACGTATTATTCGGAAAAACTTGAACTGCAAACGTGATCTTCTAAAAGAGAGGAAAAAGATGCCTGTGTCCTCAGCCATATGAAAACTGTGAAAAATGATTTGTGAAGCAAAGTCTGACCATTGGAAAAAAACAGTAAAAAAGGCTATGAGAGCACGAAAAATCCCAATTCTGCCAAGTAGAACTTGAAGAACACCAAAGGGTTTGAGAAGCATGAATCGTCGCAAAACATCAAATGGATACTTACATGAAATTACACGAAAAAAAACTCTGAACTCGCTCAAATCTGTAAAAATACCAATATTTTTCGAGTGTCATTGTCGTGGATATTCTCTACCAAACTGTAGTTTATCTACAAAGTTTGCTACCCTACTTCTCTCAATGAAGAGAAACCTTGTAGAATATTGCTCATTGACGAGATGAAAAAATACAGAGCAGGGGCAAAAGAAAGAAGTGTATTCGATAGTCCATTGCAAGTACGTAGAGCGAAAACACTGCAGTGCTAAGTAAATGGGACCTTGCATAAACGCATATGTTACAAGATTTTCACCTTTTTGGGCCGGAATTTTCTAAAAGTGGGTTAGGGAACCACAGCATAATTGCGCAATGAAGACATGGAAAACTATTCATGTTGTTTTTCCTGACAGTTCTGGCCCGCACGTAAAAATGCTAATACATGGTCCTTCACTGGAGTGTCGTTGTGTTTAGCATCTTTGGTGGTAACATTGTGGCTGGAGGGCATTAGATCGCCGATAGGCTCCATTCACAAGGACAGCTAGCATAAGGCAGTAATGTTGAAGGCGCATAGTTTGTTGCAAATGTCCACGTAGGATTTCGCCTTTCGGCGACCTAATGTCCTCTAAACGTAAATTTATCAAACCAATCTTCTCATAAATCACCAATAAGGCAAAGTATCAAAATGATCAACAAAGGCGATCACAATCATGGCGGACGTAGGTGCCAGATATCACTCGGAAATAACCGTTTAAGAGATTTGGAACAAAAATTCGCTCTAATTCAGAGAGATGAGTTGTTAAAAGATAAGGAATTCGTTTGCACATTGGAAAAGCCAAGAGTGATGAAAGCGAACCATTCGAAGTTTCGACTAAGGCTTAGGGCTTATTGAGTGGAAGGAAGCAAAATGTCTCGAAAATTATTTGGAAAAATCTCCTTGTGATGAAGAGTATGATTTTGTATTTGAGAGTTTTACCAATTTCTGTAGAAAATAAATATAGCCAAATTTCTCAGAAGTTTTTACAATTTCGGACCCAATGTGGCAAATTTTTGGATAGAATATTCAACACAATGAATCAATCAGTTCACCAAAAAAAAACATCAATCATCAACCATAGTAGTCAGAAGAGCATACAACGATGTTTTTATAATATTGATACCAGAATTTACATTCATAGGTGAAATTCTGGCACTAAAAAGAGCACGAGTCAGTCAAAGCTATTCGTTGTTGAACCATGAATTTTCCACATTTACTTCTGACATAAACGAATCAGATTGAAATGAATAAGGAAGATCTATGGAAGAACTATATACAAAGAAAATCCCAATAACTACGCAAAAATGGATCGATAAAGACGACGCCCTGAAGGAACCAATCCGGCTCGTCGTCATAGATTTATTGGAGAGCAGAATTTTTTGTGCTCTACCGCTTTCAAGTTTCATTTCTCTACTTCAAATTGATTACAAGAAAGTATTCGAAATTTCACCTTTCAAAAATTAGTCATATATCAAAGCCGATTAGGTTACAATTACTTGCTTCAAAGTAGATAGCTATTTCATAGCTCAACTAACAAGCAGTGAATATCACGCTGACACATACTAAAGCATTCCTCGCACATTGTATACTCTAATCTGCTCTGTTCAGTCGAGATTGTGCACATCACGGTAAGGATTGAAAATTTTGGTCGGTATGCGTCCGATAGATCTTCTGTTTCATTTCTGCGTCTTCCCCTTATGGTGACTCAAAAAACCTATTTCGATCCATTCTTTTGTGCGTAAGACCAAAAACATCTTGGGGCACTAATAACAAATCCGTGTTCCTTAGCTGCTCAGTGATCTTCTGGGAAAAGAAGTTACGGGAAGGGACGCAGGAGTTCCTAGCACCTCCATTCGCACCAGCATTCACACTCCAGAAGGCTCCTCGCACCTTTGCGCAACAGAGGTCAAACCCCGCCCCCGCTCCACTCTTTCACTGGTCTCATTGGAAGGCTGCGGGCAGAGGGAATAGCACAGGCATGCAACGAAAATTCATGAAAAATCGTCATCTTGCGAGGCAAATTCCCTAATTATTGCACGTATAAGCAAAGACACTTTGAAACCCCAAAAAACCTTACAGTACTCTGGGTAAGCAGTGTTTTGGTTCGAAACTGTTTTGTGAAGGAAAATGCGCTGTTAATATGATTTTCATTGTAAAGGATTTTTCACAGTTTTTGTTTCTGCATTACCATAGATTAAAGCTTGCCAAACGTACGAAGCACTGCTATTAACGTTTCAAAGATTTCTTGAGGATAACTATCACCATTTTGATACTACCACTTTTGCACTATTTACAACCAGACTCAATACGAAATTTGCAGTGAAATCTTTAAAACTTATTTCTCTGAGGTGCCAACAAAAGAATGAATTGGGGTAACTATCTTGAAGCGCAAAACCCACTTCTTTTCCTGAAGAAGCCATGAACTTAGGTTCAAATCTTAGTAAGTGATTGAATTTTCTTTGATTTAGGCGAGAACTTTTGCATCGACCTATATAGTAGATCAAAATAGTTCTGGCATGCTAACAGAAAGTTTACAAAATTTGAAATTAATTGCAAAAGTATCAACAAATCTCTCTAAAAAAAGGTCTTTCTTATCATTATTATGAAAAGCACCAGAACATGAATAAATAAAGGAAATTTTTTGATGAAAATATTCGATGAAAAAGTTGTTGAAATGATGAGAAGCTCAAATTATTCTGCTAATAAGTCAAGATCTAGCTTCAAAACTGTTCTTAACCGCAACAAGTCAAATTTCGCTTATTCTGGATAAATTCTGTGGTTCTGATTCTATAGAGCACTGCAAGCTCTACAAGGTAGTATTTTGAAAAGTTGCATAAACTTGATCTACGCGAATTTGTAGCCAAAAAACTAGAAAAATCCAACTGTCCGCAAAATCCGAAAAAACTAGAAACTCCATCAAAAATTGCACTTGTGCAACTTGCTCAATGGACATGTTTTCACATCAGAGGTACCTATATACACATTTTCTGGCTGAAAATCGACAAAACTGAAGTACCTTCGCTTCCGACAAAGCGATGTTCACAAGTAGACTTCATAACTTCTCATCTGTCACCTTCCATCCGTCATTATTCATCCATTTAGCAGAACACACTGGTAATATTCTCCAGGCCTGCACAACTCGGAATGAGATTAGCTAGTGGGCGGAGCAAGTGGGCGGAGCCGTTTAAAAGGTGCGAAGGCCCATTGGAGGTGCTAACTACCCCTGCAAGGAAAGGCGGCGAGGCTTTGGGAACTCCTGGGCCGCCGCCAGAAGTTACGAGCGATGGTTTCCCCAGTACGGCCACGGATTGCTTAAATTTGCGGCGCCGAGAAATGTCACCTGTGAAGGGATGGTCGAGTGGATAACTGTGGAGATTATAGAGGAAGTGGTAAAAAGTTCGGAATACTTAGGTTCCAAACATTTTTCCATTTTGTAGGTTGTATTGTTTGATATGAGAGAATCCTAATACCAAAGCGATCTCAGTAGTCACCATGCAAGTTGGAAGTACCAGCTACTTGCAAATGAGCAGTATACCTGCTTCAACAATACTACAATTCTTTTATAATAGAAATGATTATCGAAGGAACAATACTCAACCATGTGGCTTTGGTGAGCTAAGCAAGCATTACTATACTATGTGAACTGGGTAGTAGATGGTCTAGGCTGTTTAGCAGATGGTAAGATTGAACATACAGTAGCACACATTTTGGATGCCTCATGTTTTTGGTTCGTAGCAAATGCGGTTTTATTTTCCAAGTATGAGCTGGCTTGAGGGCAACATCCAGGTTCGTAAAACCCAAAATCCAAAAATAAAAATCCGCTGTAAACTTGCAAGTGTGATCATTAATTTGAATTTTTCTTGCGAAATAGCGCCATTTCGTAAGACCTGAGAAGATAATTGAAGCTTTAGTTGCGAATACAAAGCATTTGCGGTGATAGAACAGTATTTTCTGTTCACATATAATCCGTTAAACAATTTATTATATTCGATAACTTCCAATAAACAAAAAACACCAGCACCTCTTGATATCACGCATTTGACCATCTTCAGTTAAAAAGCAGTTTTCTCATGTTCTCTACCGATCGCTCATCCTAAACATTTTGATTTAGCAAAAAAAAAATAATTCGTACAAAATACTTACTTTCTGGAACATTTTGTCATTCCAAGATTTGAAAAATTTCTTGAAAGTTGGAGTCTCCTTGCCTTGATAAATAGTTTCAATGGTTGTTTGCTTATGACGTGGCAGTGTCCCTTGTTTTAGATATTTCTAAAAGCTTCCAACATATTTGATTTGCTTTGAATTTGCAAGCCCAAGCGATACCTTGGCGGTGTCGAGAGCATTTTTCTTTTCATCTTGATTAGCTCCTGTTCCAACCCACACATAGATGCTGTTCAACGCATCAAGAATCATGACGTCATCGCCATCCAAACTCTGACAATAATTTCATCTTTTGTTTAGGGCAGATCTGATGACGAACGCAAATTATGTACCTCCTGATCGTAATTAGAAATCTCTTCAACCCTCATCGTTCCAGATTCATCTGAAACCTGGAACAACCGTGGCTCAAAGACGTTCTTCTTCTTAACGTCTTCCCATTCTCCGAACCTGAATTAAAAAAGAAGATTCAAAAAATTCCCTGAGGTACTGTTGGTTTCTAGGCTTTCATTATGCGCTGATTAGCGAATGGAGGTGACTGCTGATCAAGACATGCAATAGCGGTGAAACTATTTTATGATGCGAATTCCTACGGAAGTTTTAGAAATGTGAAAAGAGAAAAATTTGTTACGCTTTCATCAAATATTGTACAACATTGTTCCTGTACCCAAAAAAAACATTCGGCATCGCTGCTGTGATACATAGATGACAAAAATTAGTGAAAAAGAATGATTGTTAGTGAAAATTATTTTTTATGCGGAAAACTAGCCATTTCTTGTTTTTTCAAGGTGTCAGATCATAAATGGATGACTTGTCTCAAAGGAAAAAATGATATGCCATGCCCGGAGGAAAGTTAGAAAATCAACTGGAAAATAATATGGTTGCTGAAAAGTATGCAGGATAAAGAGATGATCGATGTTCCCTCAATTCCGTAGTGCTTTGGAGCAATTGAAGATCAGAGATCAATTTGTGACGACTGACTGTCAGGCCTTAGTTTGTCGAATCACTTGTAAGTTTTGTGAAATTTGCGATAAAGAGGTTCGGAAGTTTGGCAAATCAGCTCTTCTTGCAAAGCCGATGTACATGGAGAATAGTCCAGATCTGCTTAACAGTCATAAGCAAATCCTACTTGTTCCATAACTTTTCGAATTAACTCTCACCACTGTGTAAATGACGATGGTTCAGCTGACTCAAGTATCCTTGTCACTTGAGTCCATGGCGGAAGTTTCTGTAAAAAGTACCAAGAAGCTCATATTACTTTATTTGGAAACAAACCTTTTCCTTGAGAAATTGTTCTCCCCAGATCATTGCCTTGGATCGTTCGTCCATAGTACAACCTTTGCCGACCCAGACAAAAATGCCACCGTTGACAGCATCCAAGATGAACGCGTCCTAATATTTTTTTTATTGTGTAATATGAGACTTTTAACAACGAAACAGCGATTGAACCAGCCTTCGTGTCCAGAAGACTTCGTTGCAGTTCGCCTTGCGCAACTTTCGTCAATTTCATTGTTCCAGAAGCGTCTGAGACTCTACAACAAAGCAAATGCACATAAGATTCAAAGTCATAGTTGTAAAATGAATACAGGGAAATCATCCCTATTTCACTATCAAAATAGTCTACAACATTTTCATTAGAATGGCACTCTTTGCTTGCCTCCATAAAGTCATCTGTTCTGTAGTTCTCTTCCAATAGTTTTCGTCGTCATCCTTAGCAGCAGCAACGGTTTTCACAGTGCTTGGTCCACCAAAGTGTGACCAAAAATCTTCGTTCGTATCCCAGTCAGAATCTAATTAACGACGGTTTTTGATTTTTAGTTAAGACGAGGCAGCTGTACGAACCGAGAACATGAACGGAGCTTGCTCCATTTCTTTCGTCAAAGGCAATGTTCTTAGCCCGAGCCATACCCTAGAGTAAATTTCCAACATTATTTAGGACAGACTTATGGAGTTAGTTGACCTTGATCCTCTCCAGTCTTCCACTCTTTGGTGGCATCCATACGTAGATGTCTTTTCCTAGATCGAGTAAGAAAACATCACCAAGATTAAGAGATTGCTTCTTGAACTCTACCTAGATAGCGAGAAATTTAACGCCAAAATAAGTTTTTTAAATAATACCCAAAGTGAGACTGACGCTACCTCCGTGCACCTAACATTCCTTTTGCCTTTACAGTGATACAATCGAGGCTTAAAGTTGTCAAACAGACCCTCTACATGATGGTAACCAGAATCATATCCACCCATGATATATCTGTAAACGATTACGGAAGCTTGCACCTCACTCACTTACAGTAATCCTACCGTATTCCATTGGGAAAATACGATAGAAACAGTGACGATTCATGATTTTGCACTTCTCTGTGCTGTACCGGAAAACCACCCAATGCCTGATCGATTTGAACGGCAGTAATGGCAGCGGCCCCGATTTCATCTGGAGTAGCACCCTCACCGATCCAGAAATGAATATCCCATGCTCCGTATTTTGTCTGAATTGTTGATGAATAAGCAAAAAACGTTGTGACCAGGATGAATCATAGGACATGGAGTCACCCACATACATACAGACGTAAGCATCTCCGATGTAAAATTCACCGTATTCGTTCTTTGGCACAGGTTCTAATCGAAATCTCTGCAAGGAAATATCGGAATTCAATGTCATGTTCATCAAAAAATATAATATTTGCGAAATACAAATGACGTGTACAGAAATTACTACAAAAGTTGTTTGTATTCTCCAGCTATTAAGATGCTGGAGCACATATAGGCAGTTCTCGACAGAATTTCGTTTTCCAGTTTCTCACCTTTTCGAAGTCTTTCCGCCATAAGGAACCCATATCTGGGCTTTTCGGCGCATGAAAATGGTGGAAATGAGCTTTTCCGAAGCTTTCCGGGTCCGCATTCAGTGGAGAAGACATATAAGTGGGCGGAGCCCGCAACGAGGGAGGCGGAGCTCGAAAGACTTCCGCCGTATCTTCACAGAATGCGGACCTGGAAAGCTTTGGAAAGAGCTCATTTTCGCCAGTTTCATGCGCTAAAAAGCCCAGATATGGATTCCTCAGGTGACTGCAGTTAAAGTCATGCTCGCTGTCTCCGATTACTCACTAGGATATAGCAACAATCTACGCCCAGCTCCCCTGAAAGCCTGTTTGGAACCTAGTCAAGGAATGCTGAAAATCTCAAATGAATCTCGGGGCTGGCTCTAAGCCAAAAACCTTCAAAGTGATCGTACGAAGGTGAAATTAGGCTCAAACGAAGGAGGAAAACTGTGCCATCATCATAAGGTATCTACTGATTGAAACTGATTGAACACAACATCTTCTTGGTTCAAAACTTTATTTAAATGTTAAATTGCTGAGAAATTATTCAAAAAAAAAACCGTCAAGTTTGTCAAAAAAAATTCATTTGAATACTGAATCCTAGCAAAAGACATTAACATTAGAGAAATGACAGTTCAAAAATTTCCCAAGAGTGACCGGTGCTGCACATGGTGCAGCACGCTACTTTGAAGGATCTTTTTGACGTTCACAGGAGGTTTTCTTTTTAGTCCAAGGCTATCAAGTCAAAGGCCTGAGCCTTTGCTTTCAAAATGACTTTGTAGAGCTGTGCCGCCGATATTTGTTTAGAAGATATGAGGACGAATCGAACAACAGTTGCAATGAAGTGCGGCAACGCACGACGCGTGCGACGTCGCAACTTTCTGCTTTAATTTCAAAGAGGAAAGCCTTTTTATCAACAATGATGTGTACGGTGTACAACATAGATACTTTTGAATACTATTAGAAACGGATTTCTTGTTCCTATCTTTCAAGAAAGCACAGAAGTCCCTCTCAAGCGACATAATTCGAACACTTCGAATTCACATAGAACTTGGGGTATGGAGCTTATCTGACATGCTGATTACAGATGTACCCCACAGCCTACGAAATAAGTCCCCGCTGTTGGCTAACGGCTGAAGGTCCACTATTTTTCGCGGCGCGCGATTTCGCGGTCCGAAACGTGTTAAATGCTGGAAAAAATTAGGCGAAAGACTAGAAAATCAATAGCGAAACGACAGTCTATAAAATTCTCAGAAATAAAAGTTTGTTTGTGTGCGAAAGTCTGGGAAGACTAAAATATCAAGAAATGACAGTTCAAAAACTTCGCTAATGATATTGCTGAGTCTGTCAACGACAGACGATTCTGATGTGCGAAGAACATCCTGCTAACGTGCTGGAAGCAATGACCTCAACCTACGCAAGAAAAGGTTGCAATAACAGTTTGAGGCGAAATTCCTTATAAATAGTAGCATAAAGGGTGAAAACCATTTATCGTTACTACTGATATCTCAACTTCCTATGTCTTACGACGATTATTTTTATTCCCACATGCAGCATTTGCTGCAACAATTTTATTCATCGGCAGACCCCAATTCTGTTCCTGTACCAAATTGGGAGCCTCAGGTGATTGGTTTTGATCAGCCCAAATCAAAAATAAATTTATACATTTCAGCCGTTGCACTCTTCGTCCGCTGGCTTGAGCGAGCAGTACTATTCTGATATTTTGCCGAATGCTATTCAACCGGAACCACTACAAACTACTTTTTATCTTGAAATTAATTCAAATTCTACACAAACGGATACGTTACATATTTAGAATACTGATATATCGAATACTGTGCCAACGGCAAAAAACACTATTATTTCTGAAAAGTTCTTGATTTGTCATTTCTTGATATTCTAGTCTTTTGCCCAGAGACTTCCGCACACAAACAAACTTTAATTCTTGAGAATTTTATAAACTGTCGTTTCGCAATTGATTTTCTCTTTCGCCTAAATTTCAGCATCTAAATAACTGTTGATGATTCTTGATCATCAACCTAGAGCTTATTTTAAGAATAGCCTATGGAGCGTCCATAGGCTATATTTCCATCCACTTTTGATGAAGTATCTAATCACTCAAACATTGAGTGACATTTGTGCAGCGGGAGTCGACCTTTACGGCGGCTTCCCCTTTTAAGCCTGTAGCCCGTCTATGGCCCCCTGTCCTCGGGTAGATTCCGCCCCTTTTACTCGTATAAAAGGAATCCCCGCGTGTTTGTTATATTCGTCTGTGGATAAATCTATTATCGACACTACTATCGCCTACGACACTTGGTTCCCACCAAAATAACTATCAATTGAGAAGTTTTTGAACTGTCATTTCTCGAATGATATTCTAGTCTTTTGCTAGGATTCAGCACTCAAATAAATTTTTTGACAAACTTGACGGTTTTTTGAATACTTTCTCAGTAATTTAAGCATTTAAATAAGGTTTTGAACCAAGAAGACGTTGTGTTCAATCAGTTTTAATCATTAGATACTTTATGATGATGGCACGGTTTTTCTCTTTCGTTTAAGCCTAATTTCACCTTCGTACGATCACTTTGAAGGTTTTTGGCTTGAGCCAGCCCTGAAATTCATTTGAGATTTTCAGCATTCTTTGGCTAGGTTCCAAAGAGGTTCTCAGGGGGGCGGGACATAGATTGTTGCTATGTCCTAGTGAGTAATCGGAGACAGCGAGCATGACTGTAACCTGCAGGCACCCCGAATCGAGCCAATTAGGCTCGGGTTCCTAAGTTCCGTCCTCCATTAGAAACTCCAGTTTTAGCGAAGTTGATGAAAAATGATGGCCGAAGTCCACGTAAGGCCATGGAGCTAGCGATTTTTATGATCGTAAATGAAAAAGCTCTTCCTTTACCGGGATTAATTTCATAACGCATGTATTTCATCCTCGGATGAAGGTTTCTCTATGATTTTGCGATTTTAAAACATTTTTTTTTACTTTCGTAACCCACATCTTTCTGAACGGTCCCCCCTGCACAAAAAATCAAAGATTTACAAAGAGCATCAGAAAAAGCTTGTACCAAAAGCCCTTACTTATTGCATGGCTACTGTTGCAAAAAAAGCACTTAGACGTAAAAAAATTAGGGTACCCGGCTACTTGCGCATCACTGATTACAATGTAGATCCTTTATTGAATAAGCTAATGAATGCACGTTGATTTAGACACGATTTCTTTCTTTGGCTCGCGACTGGAACAAAAGGCTGGTTCATATAAAACAGAAGTTGCAGTCAATTTGGACATAGGCGCAAATTCTTGATTTTTTGCGGACTTTTTTGGCCCATCTAAATTTTGCTACTAGTGAGACCTTGCGTCTTTCAGATCAAGCAAATCTAAGCAAAACATTTCCGAGATTGATTCATTAGAACATAACTTGATATGTACCTATGTTCCATACTCGAAAAAATATTTCACAAGCCCAAAAGGGGGACAGCCAAAATGAATGATAACTTGTGGCAGCCAGATGCGTTGCATAAGTCAAATATTTTGCAAATTCCATAATTACGCAAAGTTAATGTATGCGAATTTGGAAAGAACGCTGGGAGCTCGGTATGCCCTAATTTTTACTGTTCCATGCCAATTTCAAACCGATGAAGAATCGCTTTAAAAAATAAGACTGGCGGCATACTGACAAATACAGGAGGACTGTATGCTTATTTCCAGCCATCGCTCATCTTAGCATACACCCACACGAGGTGGAAATTCTAAAAGTCATAAAATTTCTTGGTAGTACGAATAGTGGTGGAGATACGTATGTGGAACTCATACTTTGAGTGTTTCGCTTGATTAGACAATGAGGAGACCAGAAAATGTGAAAAGCTACTCGGATTCTTCGTAGATGATGAAAACTCAGAAAAACTTACATGTATTCTCCAGATCTCCAGTCCTGGTTTCTTGCCCACTTCAGTGATATCAATTTCATCAATCTCCTCCTCTTTGCCCATCGCTTATCTTGGAGGAACCACTGAAAACGTAAAGAATCATTCAGAATGTCAAAACATGGCTGAAATTTCTAAAAAGAAACGTGTTGTGTGGTTGACGGAACTAAACGGCCAGAGGGCAATTGCCGCTTGCTGCACATCTCGAACCTTTTTTTCGCCGAAGGATAGATAGCCAATCGTGTGCAGATGTGCAGAACAGCAGCTTTTGTTTCAGTGATAATTCGAGCAGATTCTCAATGAGGTTCTTAGCGGAGCAGTAAATCATCTTTAAGGTGGCCAGGGATACGTTAAGAGGGTTTGGGGACAAGCTTATGTGATTATACTAAGACTTTAATGTTTGTCTACATCATGAATGCATGAAAAATGTCCATAGCTATTTCATGACATTTTCGAAAAAATGAAGAGGATTTGTAAGTTAATGTTTATAGGACGATTTCTGCTTTTTATAAGCACACCATGTAATGAATCATATAACAACAGTTGAGCTACGAAGTGTGCAGCAATGCTGCAAAAGCTGTCAGTCGGTGCCAGAAAAGTACGACATTGACTATTGAATAGACAGTCGCTGTTTACTTCTTCCTACTCAACTACTTAAAAATCGTTGAATAGAAATCACCGCATAAGAAGAATTATTTATTATATCAGCTGGATCTTAAGACTACTGAGCTTGAAATGGTGATATCAGTCAAATAAACGGTGTAAGTCAGAGTATTCTCAAAACCAGCATAAGTCCTAGCAGCAAGTTATGGTCGAAGAGATTTACATAGGGAAATCAGAAATTCAAAAGAAAAGGATTACTTTCCCTTATAACTTCAGCTATAGACACGTGGCCCTTAATAACTTAGAATACTACTAAGTTTTTTAGAAGATTGTATGGACCATCACAACTGCCCTTCATACGTGAGATCGAATGGGAAAAGAAGTTGATAAAATATCTGCATTACTATGGTCGAATGAATCCACTAGATATTTCATATGGTCCCGAGACATCGCTAAATGGCTGTAATTTACATCTGGCGCATATGATTCGTTTGTTTTCCATACTATAGCGCTTTCCTCCGACTCAGACTACAATCAAATCACAGTTATGATTGTCGTATACCTCACTTCTTAGATCAAATCGTTCGCATACAAAAGCTCTTGAAGTACCAGGATTTTCAGCATACTTCTTTTTTGTACAAAAGTACAAAGGTTTGGGCTATAAAAAAGGCATTCAGAAATCTCGACACATTTCTGTGTGATTTAGGATGTTGAGTTGATCAGAGAAAACAGAGAAAGGAAGATAAAGTAGTGTCAAACGAGAGTTCTTCCATGTAATTTTCGTCCAATGGTATCATTTTACAATCTGCAGTGGAGTAAAAAAAGCTTGATATCCTACTTGAAGCAGGCATTCGATTTACATTGAGTGTAACAAAGCTAGATGCGAAGATTCAAAGCTCTACTCAGAAGATCAAAGAGCACCAGCTGATCAAATATCAACTTCAGACTTCGAGTTCGATGATGAGAATGAACAAGAGCTACATATATCATCGCAGGTGTCCATATTGTAACGTGTCATAGAGATTGAGCTGATCGACACAGAAACTTTGACGAGGTCTGACCCAAGAGCAAAAAATACTTGTAAGGATCCGCTGCAGATGGAAATGAGCTGCAAGATACTATTAGGTTGGTTCAAATAATAGTTCACCCGTTTCGTCAAAAAAATCATAACTTCTCTGTATCTTGATCGATTTCCTTGAAAGTATATTTGTTTGACAGAAGAAATCATACTTTTCACAGCTTCAACTTTCATGTAAATTAGTACGAGATAATGGGTGAGTTAAAAGCAAATGAAGAAAATTATTCAAGATTGGCATTTTTCAAGATCATGCCTAAGCATCCACGCAAAAAGAGCTCGAAAAATGCTTTTTAGTGACCTCTTCATTTGATTGTAGCTCGCATTTTTCAGACTAAATCACGGCAAAAGCACCACTGTATTAGCGCAAAATTTTATCTTTCAACCAAAATCTTTTTTTTTTTGAGATTCTGCTCAAACATATTCGTTTTGAGTGAAATTGTTTCCAATTGCTGGTAGCTCGCGCTCTTTCCTGTATTATTCCAATTCAAGGCACCGCTCTAAAACGCATAATTCCTGCCTTTGGACAAAAATCAAAAAACTTCTTCAAGAGGAAAAGGTTACGATTCTTTGAAGGGCGAATGAACATTTGAACCAATTCAATATTTTAGATAACGGATTGAGATTTGTAACGGACCATTGAAGTTTAATGTAAGGAATCAATCAAAATAATGATTATTTAACATGTCCCTTACCTTTCGAAGGCGAACAGCTGACATTATTCTTCCGATGTCCTCCTCCAAGATTTTTCTAATTCCCAAATTGACAATGCATGAAAGTTGGGCACTCTGGATTGAGTTACAGATCCTCCTAAACAATAACGTCGTTGTAATTTATACCAAAGAATGTTACACATTATACATACGCTTTGCCGTAAAGGTACTCACTAAATAGATTTGATATTTGTTGACTTGAGCGATACAAGCACTTACCGGATGGTTCCAATGTTGAGAGCGCGTCAAAACGCTCAAATGTTCGAATGTTGAAAAGAGAAGAAACACTTTCGCTATCAAAGGGCCGAGACCAGCATGAACCAAGCTCTACAAACAGTGGTACAATAACAGGGTAGAATTATTCGAAAAATGGAGAGCCTATAGAATACCACTGTTGTAAGGGCAAACTGTGTTAACGCCCTCGACAAATCTTATTTGATGATAGTAGGTAGAGCGTAAATATAGCAAACCACGAGGGATTTTTTGCTCCGATGTTTACTTCTGTAATCACTCTTCAATTTCAAGAACTTAGGAAAAATCCTACATTGGAGTAGTTACAGCACTCCAGCTACTACCTTCAGAAAGACTTCTCAGGCAACGGATAGGACCCCTCCGCCGGAGAAATGGCAGGGTCGCGCCGTTTCCCCAGCGGTGGGTCTCCCATTTGTCCGGCGGAGCCCTCCCATTTTCTGCTCCGGATACCTCCCATTTTCTGCTCCGGATGCCGCCCATTTTCTGCTCCGGATACCTCCCATTTTCTGCTCCGGATACCTCCCATTTTCTGCTCCGGATACCTCCCATTTCTGCTCCGGATACCTCCCATTTTCTGCTCCGGATACCTCCCATTTTCTGCTCCGGATACCTCCCATTTCTGCTCCGGATACTCCCATTTTCTGCTCCGGATACCTCCCATTTTCTGCTCCGGAGGCCTCCCATTTCTGCTCCGGATACCTCTCATTTTCTGCTCCGGATACCTCCCATTTTCTGCTCCGGAGGCCTCCCATTTCTGCTCCGGACCCCTCCGAATTTCTCCGGCGCGGCTCTTCCAAATCTGGCGCACTCGCGCCGAGCAAATTTCTCCGGCGCGAGTCCGCCAAATCTGGCAGAGTCGCGCCGGAGAAATGGCGGACCTTTGCAGCAGGGCCGGAGAAGCCTCCCACTTGCCTACCAGTGATGTCACCGCGATGGACCGCCCATTTGCCCCTCTCTCATTGGTCAACTGGGTCCGGCGCGACTCTGGCAGATTCGGACTGTCCGGCGGAGGGGCCCGGTCGATTGTCTGAGTTATAGCAAAATGTGCATAAATTCCATGCAAATATGACAACGCATTAATGCCACAGTAATCATAATGCTTCGAATATGAGTCATTTTGTCTTCATTGACCCAGTGGTAAGTATCTATCACTTTTTCTTTTTGGTTAGAAAACTTTCTTACCTACGAGTAGCAGTGTCACAACTATCTTCATCAAAGCAATACCCCCCACGTAAAGAAAAGCAGAAGGTAGATCGCGAAGTTTTTTGAAATGATTTACATGGGTTATAAGAATGTGCAAATGATTTGTTTTCAATTGTAGACAATCAAAATAAACGCCTGGATTTTACTGATTACAGGCTTTGTGAAATTATTTTCAAAGGTTACAGTCACGCAGGTTCTCATAACAAAAAGGCAACCCCGCCTTTGCCTGCTGAAAAAAAAAGATTTGGGCAATTAATTACAAACATAGTTTTCTGTCTAGTTTTTTGAAGACTGCATCGTGGTTACTCGACAGAGGAACATGTATTCATGACGAAGAAGTACCAGGTGGATTAGGAATGGCTCGTTTCAAATCCACTAGGTGCTACTCTACTAGAGTTTTGCTAATAAAATTTTCAAAAGTCTTGAGTTTGAAAAAAATCCTTACTGAAATCAACTCGATTACCACTATTACTACTCTTACAAATAAGTGAGCGATTTTAGCTTTAATATATGAAGATTTTAACTTGGATATGTGTGCACACTTGCAAAACTGCGTCTTCTCTGCAAACCTCGTGTTTCTCAAAAGATAGTTGTTTGAAAGAAGAAAAAAGTTGCATCGAATGGTACCTTAGCTGATAAACATTTTACAGTTCAGTTCTACGAGCTTAAGACCGGATATGAAATTTGGCTGCTTCAAAAAATATACCTTAGCAATTCTGAAAGACAAGCCAGGGCTACAAATTGCTACAGCTGGCAAAAGGTTTGTCCTACCTGCTGGATATTTAAGGTACCTCAGAAGCTTCGAGCAAAATTCAGAAAATCAGCGGAAGTCAGACATGGTGAGAACGAAGGGTTGCAATTTTTAGCGATTATTTCAGCACCCTGTCAATGAATCACATTGTGGAGACGGCAGCTAGAAAGAGTAAGAAGTTCTGCATCGAATACAACTTGATACATATGTTTGTATATCTTCACTGTACGGCATTTGCGGGCAACTTAAAAACTTTTGCACCATCCTAATAGGTCGCGAAGATTAGGGCAAATGCAAATAGTAGATTACAAATGTCGTAAGGTGTCACATTTCAAGTCTTCAGGATTGCTATTCTTAGTTTAAGTCTCTTTGCTTTGCCAATGAACGTTTTTAGAATTACATATGACATGTTCAATTTTTCTTACCTAGCATAGGAAAGAGAAGACTGTAATAATAAGGCTTCTTCAAGCTCTAATTACTTGTAACAATCGCACCAGACTCGATTTCACTAATCGCACTTGTGAACACCAACAGTGCTCAGATAGCAGGAGCTCCAGAACTGACTCCACTCAAAACAACTTATTTTTATCAACATTTCTTATATATGATTACATACAGAAATTTATATACCCGCTTACTATGATGCATTAACTAAGGCACTGAGTCATCTCGTGCCATTTTGGTCACTACATTCTTCAAAGTTACAATTGTTCACTACGCCTCTAAACGAAGCTTGTGTAAGACAGCCTTTTTCGCATCAGCTCACAAATGCTGAACATACACGCATTCAGAATCCGCGCGCAACGGAGAGACAACATCTGGCGATCTGCCAAATCACATGACAACCGCGATTTAGAAATTCCCCAGACGTCCCCGGAATCGTACCAGGCAAGACTGACAAAATAAATCTCATAATCACTTCCGCAATGCTACTCCAGCCTTTACAATTGTTGAGTTACCCATTAACAATACCCTATGTAGGCAGTTGTTTTCCCAAAAATACAATAGACAAAAGTAGTTTTTTCTTCTGTACTAATCTACATTATTTCTCAACGCTTTATACATCTATAAGCTCACATTTATAAACAATTAAAAGAACTAACGGCACAGAAAAAAGACTAATTGAGGGGAGGAAAGGGGTGGATGGGTGGGACTGGATCGACATCTTTCTCACACAATCTTTCACTTCCTGAATCTCAACACATACACGCATTTTTTCAAAGGAGAAATAATAGGTTGACTTGAGCACACTATTTCCAAAATATACATAATTGATAACAGTAACAATTCCAAAACAACAACTGTTCACTTTCCTCACAGGGGAATAACAATGAGATAATCTCGTCCGTACTTGAGAGCGACTTTGAACAATTTCGCGCGCTGCTAAAAAGAGGATGTGTGAATGAGAGGAAGTCGCGCATTTTTGGCAATCAAAGCTCTCAAACCCGTCGACGAGGTGGGGCACATTACTCACAAGACCTTATACCATGAATACAATTCGACACTGTTATGAAAGCAACCTGTTTCAAATAATGCTCACAGCGACTCTCAAAAATTGCAATCATCTAAGGATGAAACAAGCATGAAAAGATGAACAAGACTGTCATTACTTCCATACCTGAGCTCATTTGCTACAATTTTTGAGTTGTTCTGTCAATAGATATAGCTTCAAAATACGAGTTGCCTGGATGACGAGACAATTACATATCACAGAAAACAGATATTTAACAAGCGAAATTTCAACCACACTACTTCACTACAATACTGAGGATTTCTACTGCTAAACAGCTCGACGAAAAGTTGCATCGCTTCCACACAGTGCCTCCTCACATCATCCGGGGTCAGGGGGGCCATCTTCTCTAAACGAGAAACCGATTGTATTTGCAATGTCCTAAACAATCGGTTTTCGTTGCAGGGACTGAGGTTTTTGCACAAGTTTTCTGGTGCAAAAACCCGGACTCGGACCGATATTGGACTCGGAGTTCGTACTGGGTGTGAAAAGCTACCGTTAATTGAACGACCATCCTTCTGCGGGTTGTTGTACAACCCCACCTTCTTGCCCGGCCGTAATCTCATCATCACTGTTCGAACTATAATAAAAACTTTTCTCATAGGTAAGACTAAATGCAACCGAACAATAATGAGAAACAACACTCACTTAAAATAGGTGTCAATAATCTCGTATGTGAGCTTATATATTTCTTCATTGTCGTGATTTTGCAACTGTTCGATTTTATCCAGTCCTGCAATAACAACTTGACAATGAAAGCTGCGTTATGGTCAATGTAGGATCGCAGAAAAAACAAAGAAATAAAAAAGTGGTGAAAGATGCACGCACCCCCACACTCTTCAATCTGTGTGCAAATTGCTTCCACGCCAGGACCAGCCATTTTGAGGATGTTGTTGATGCCATCAAGAACAACCTGAGCCATAATGAGAATGTGCAAAAAAAAGCTAACAATCAACAACGAATCGAGTAAGAATATGAGATGTGCAGCAAATGACGCAGACAAACATACCTGTATAATCTGTGGTTCCTTACAATCCAGGAGAGCACAAAAGGGAGGAATCACACCACAATTCACCATCTGCTCAACCTGGTCGGGTCGTCCAGAGATTGTTACATTAGACACAGCCCATGCTGCCTCCTTAAGCGATCAAGATAGGAGGATACACGTCATGCAAGCAAAGATGCTCACCTTTTGTGTGGGGAAATCCGCTTTTCCGAGCAGATTGATGATCAATGGCATCAAGCCTGCATCGAGTACAGCTTGTACCTGGTTCTGGTTGCCAGCAGTGATGTTAGACAGGAACCACACAGCTTCCTATGATGATTGTTGACTAATTTCTGATAACAATCTGATTTCTTACCTTATTGATCTTCTCCTTTTGATGTGATAGAAGCTGTGGCATTTCTTGTAGCACACCACAATCGAGCACGAGCTGCGTTTGTTCATCAGATCCCGTGACGATGTTGCCGACAGCCCGAAGAGCGGCTGTTTGTACCTTAGCATCGGAGTGACCAAGCATGGGGACTAGCGACGGAACGATCTAAAAAATGAAACTTCCTTTCCAAACAAAGAAACTGAGTTTATTGAAACCTACTCCACTGTCGATGACCATTTGAATTTGCTCGTTACCTCCGTCGGTAAGATACGACAGGGCCCACACGGTATCAACAAGAATGTTAGCATCCTGACAGATAGATTATATCATTGAAAGAGTAAACATGATGTTATTACCGTACATCGTGATGAATCAGCAATACCAGCGCTGGTAAAATGGTTTTCACAATCTCAGGGGTTGGGGGAGGATCTTTCGATCGGCAAAGATTCACCTGTGAAAGCCCTTATGTAACGAACGCAGTTTTAGAGATAATTCCAACTCACGATGACCCAGGTGACGTTCCGTAAAAACCCGAGAGGTATTTCCGGTGTTATGAAGTTTAACAGCAGAGGAAGTATACCAAGCTGTAGACAGTAGTCTCGAAAGTGAGGACCGTCGCCTTAACATGAAGTTGTTACAACGATAAATGCAGGAACCTAAATGCAACTTCATTTCCAATTCTGAGAAACAACCTAAACCACAACCCTGGCTACCAATTTTGAGGAGAAAATGAAAAGCAATTTATGACATAACGATAGCATAGCCACGAATTAAGAAAAAATTCCAACTTGTTTCGAACACATCACGTAAGCCTGCGTTGTACAGTTTAGAAAAAGTGATCACACCAACTGGTGAAAACACACTGGTGCACAGAGTTTGACCACTTTGGTTAGATTTTTCTTTTGTGAATCTGTAGAAAACACCTTTTTGTGGCACAAACTGCCCTAAAAAAGAAGAACAGCTGAATGCGAAGTAAGTTGTTCTTTGCTGAAATTGTGCATAGGATTCTATATACTGTAGCGTTGATCATTAATATAATATCCACTCGAAAGTAAGAACTTGGGGTCAACCAGCTGCACACTTGACGTAAACTCTTCAAATGCCTTAAGGAACTTACCAATTATATTACCCAAAGCCCATACAGCTTGTTCACAGACATTCAAATTACCACTTGACAAAAGCTGCAGGAAAAGCGGAACAGCACCCGCATTTACCTAAAGCAGTTTCCTGATTATGTTGATTACATCGAGGCTAGAAGATAAACCTACCACTGCCTGGGTTTGTTCGGACGTTCCCGAGGCGATGTTTGTGAGAGCCCATGCGGCTTCAAATTGCAGATTGACACTGAAACGATGTTTCTCATGTGTAGCAAAGAAACCTTCAAACGAAAGATGCACTCACTCATCAGAGACGAGGCAGTTTACAAGTATTGGTAAAATGTCGCTAGAGATAAGATCATCTATTGGCGGGTTACGATCCGAAGATAACATTTTACGAGCCTAAAGTTTTAGATTTGTAAACCTTTTCATTAGACCATCCAACATCCTAAAACAAGAAGAAAAAACTGAATTACTTGCTGAACAGCTGCCAATTTGATACTTGGATCATCACTACGTGCCATCTTTACTATTTGTTGCAACAGGTCGCTATCGAACGGCCCCGACTGAGCTGAAGATCGAACAACATTTTCATCTCTGAAAGTGGAAAGAGAACAGATAGATAGATAGTCATAAGCTAGAAATCTATATCCAACAAACGGAACTGACTGTGCGTTAATATTACGCCGCTTCGATAACAGATCTTCCCTTTTGTCTTTACGAATTGTGACAGCCTGTAAGCCAAAAATTCAGTACAATAATAAACAGATAGGCTTGATGAATACATATTCTCCTCTCCGTTAAGCCTCGCCTCCATAACACATGTAAGCGAATATCCCCTATTTTAGAAAACAAGACGTCACCAAGTAATATTATCAAGGAGCTCTTTCACAACATCAGATACGAGTCATTAAAAAATTTTTTGATATATTTTCGGATCGGATCCAGTTCGTTTATGCCATAAAACAAGGACATGGCAAAAAAGCACGCTCTAATAGAGTTATGACTGGAATGAACACAACCCACTGCTCTCACTATTATGCTACTCACAAACCATGCTTATGCATCGTCCGCTCCACAGATCGTGCTATCCTTGTGGCGTAGCGGACGTGCCACGTGTGACTAGTACATTGGCAACGTTGGCAGCAACACTTGGCAACATGCAGCAACATGTTGGCGTGGCCAAGTTCTGCCAACATGTTGGGACATGTTGCAAACATGTTGTTGCCACGTTCCCAACATGTTAGCCACACGTGGCAGGTCAGAGACGCAGACCAAGGGTAGCACGATCTGTGGAGGGGACTCGCTACTTGTCATAGTCGGACAAAAGGCTAATTAACAGTTTCTAAAAATGATGAAAACAACTAGGTGAAAAACACACTTTGCTCTGTGTTATACAGGTTTGGCTTCAATTATCCACACTCTAGACGTAATCAAGATTTGTTTGACACGCACTCTAAACCTCTGACAGCAACCATTATCAATGAAACTCTCATTTTTAACGATTACGGTTCAAACAGCCACCGATCGCCTTCAAAGCATCTCAACGCGCAGTTTAGCGTTCTCAGATAAATTTAGGTAAGTACAGCAGCAGCCAGGCATACTCGCTACAAAATCGCGAATTCTCTCAAAATTCAAGCACGACTGTGGGTGTCACGAGCCAGCAAATCATGTTTATATTGTCTGAGCTTGGCACAAAAAGGACCGGTTGTTATGAGTTTCACAAATCGATTGCTTTTTTATTTCATCGACGGACACAACCGCGAAACAGAAAAGGGACGGAAACAACCGCAACAGTTGCCTGGGTATGTTTATGATGCAAAAGCACTTTTGTCATGCAAAAAAAAACACCTAAGAGAGGATGCAGAAACAAACCTCGTCTACCCTACTGTTCTTGAGTATCGTATCCTTCCCCTTATTCTTGTACTGCGTTAAGCGAGACGAGTCTGTGGGGTTCATTGTCCCTAAATAAAGGTGTAGAAATGCGACGCGAGAACAAAGGTGAAGCGGATTATCAAATTGTGCTTGGTAAACAATCGAAAAGGTCATTCAAAGTAGATCAGAAGTGGGAAATTCTACCAAAAAAATAAAAGAATAAACTAATAAAAGTAAACAGTCTGATGGAATAAAACCTACCTGTCCATGTAGCAAGTCCAACAAATCACAAAACAGATTTCTTGATATTTACACTAGGACTTTAGTTTGTGACTTAGTAACGAACACTAAACTAACACTACAATCAAGTAAAGTTGCAGTTATCGTCTAACGGAACACATGCATTCAAAAACAAGTCGAACTAGACAAGTACACACCCTAAACGATTAAACGTTTCGAGGCATCACAAGACTCCCAAGTACAAACACCCACGCTTACATAACAATCGAAAGACGAGGCGGGGCCAGTAACTGCGAGAAAATCGATGTTTATAATTACAATTTCCTACATCAGCGTGATACTTTGATGCGAGCCTGGCAAGGCTGACGAGAGACAGATGAAGAAGGAACTTTTTGCGACAGAATTTGTTTATAACTGAACGAACAACGCTCGACCCTCGTGGACCTTTTGACTGGGATATCAGCTATGGACACAAATCAATAGAATGATCTTGACCTCTTGTAAGTTCCAAACATGGATGTTCAAACATTTTCTCAAGACAGTCATGCATCTAACACCAAGAGTGAGCTTACTAAACTTAACTCCATAGTCGTTCAGTTGACCGTTTGAAAACTATTGCACCATATTGGAGTAGTGTATCTGTGTTCGATTTTCTTCACTCCATCTAAACACAATTTGGATGCAACACCGTGGCGATGGAATGAATGCCCAGAGAACAATATAAAACGTAGTCCAAATGAAATATAAACACGTAAAAGTGGACAGTAACTCCGTCAGAAAGCGACATTCCTCTCGCCGAAATCGCCGAAAACAGTGACGAAAAGCCCGCTCTCTTTCGACATTTAGGTGATTCAGCTTATCGATCTCGTGCTCTAGAAAATTTGATGCAAGGTTACATAGTAATCTGTTTTCGCGTCGGGACGAGCGCAAAAGCGTGGTTTACTCGTCCACATGTCACAACGCGTGCGAACCTGAACTTTTGACGGGTGCAAGGTCAAACACGTTTGTCGGTCAACTCGGTATGTATACATTTCGCACTTTCCAACATGTTTTCACAGCGTCACATACCTGTAAAAAATAGTAGAAGTCAGAAAGTTGGGCATTCTATCTGTTTCGATTTGTGCAGCAAACGCTGGAAATGGAGTTGCGGGGTGTTTTGCGGAAATAAGATGGTCAATGACGAATAATGTTGAGAAAACAAAAGCATAGAATCACAACCTCAGCGGGAGTTTCGTAGCATCCATATACTGTGTTTATATAAAACTAGCGACACGAAATATGTAAGAACGTACTTGAATGTCTCGCGTGCTCTCAGATGAATTTAAACCGTAGCGAAAACGCTACGCGGCGATGTCGCGCAAGCTTCAACCTGTTGGACGAGTTTACTCCAATGCCTCACATCATTGTTTCCCCATACTTCAAATTTTGGAATGTTATCGCCGCTCTTTTTCCAGCAACTCAGGAGGCGCATTATGTGCATCATGAGAAGCCATGAGTCGATAATGGATGCAGAGATCTTAAACTTATTGGTCCTTGAAAACTAGAATAAGGGCGGAAACTTAAAGTCAGAGCTGTTTCAGTAGCAGAATGAAAGGAAAAGAGTTAGGAAGTGATGTTTTGTTCGTCTATGATAGAACCTTATACTGTCCGCCAAAGGAAAGGTTTTGGATGTCTGGATTCGTCACTTTCATTTTTTGGAAGCGAACCAACCAATCCACTGTGTGCAGATTCAGCACTAGATTTGATTATTCATACTAGCTGGATTTCAACATGGATGAATCATACAACCTTCTCTTAATCACAACTATCCTCAACGGTTGGGCGTGGATGATTGCATCCCGAGTCCTTCATGTCAGTCTTCGTTACGTCTGAATGTCCGGCACGCGGCAGAATTGTCTTTCATCTTATCTGCAACGCTATTTCGGTACCATTTCGTGGAATGTCCCTGCGTCTCCGATTTTGCTGCATGCTCCAAATGCCATTCGTTTTCCAGTTGTTTTTATCTTTAGATGTGTTGACATCGTTGGGTCGTGCCAGGTTTCCCGTTAGTTTGTGGGTATCTGAGTAGAAAGGGATTTCCCGTTTGAAAGATGGTCAAGGATCGTTTGAACGAGTTCCAGGTGAATTCTACTTGTTACTCAGTTTTCACTTCCAACTATTAGAGTGCTTGCTATGTTATCCTCATATCATATTGCAATTTCTAGTGTCATAAATCCGTTTTTGCTTTTTACAGACTCTCTCAGGGAAAACGAACTCGACCCATCACAGATATGAACGCCGTATATCAGCAGAGACATCCAAGCTTTTACATGATGAGGAGACTTCGCTAGAGGGCGTAAGTCGTTTTTTTGCAACGTTTAATTATTATAGAAGCACGATTTTGTATGTTTGCCAACTTTTATAGCTATGAAGTGTCTATTTGGATACGCATTTAATTTGATTTACAGTTCCTGAATCGTATGACTGAACTGCGGAACATTGTGGGTCAGTTGGAGTCATGGTTGGAAGAGGTTCGCATACTACATGGAGAGCTTTTGCTCGCACCAGCCTCTGACGGAGGTTTGTGACACATTTAATTCAGAATTGATATGCGTCAGTTATATCTGTACTCATACGTTCTTCAGAGAAATCACAACAGTTGCGAGTCATCATGGAAAACTTTCGCACAACGTCTTTAGTTGCACGACAAAAGATAAAGAGTAAGTCTCAGTTTACAAATTTTTTTTACAAAAAAACCCTAGATTTACTCAGCTCAATGAAAACATGCTGATTCAGACATAGACAAAGAAGTGAACAGCAAATCACATCCCGACGAGTCGAAATCAGTGGATTCTCGCATTAAGCGAAACCAAGTAAGTGCCATTTCTTTTTAGTTCTTGCTGTTGTTCTTGCTATCGTTCTTTTCTATCGTGATTCCCTTTTCGCTTCTTACTCGGATCATTGTAGATACGCACGCTCACAAGAGCTCTTCACAGTGTGATGTGGAAGTTCAACGAAGAAGAGGAGAATTATAAGGAACGCTGCAAGAAGAAAATCACTGATTATTTGAAGATCCGTGGGTTACCTGAAGTTGTGGGCTTTCACTGGTTTCATTGAGATTTTCTTTTCAAGAGGATATCAAGTTGACGGATGACGAAATAAGCGATGCTATTGACAACGGCGATATCTTCGAAAGGACGAAAGGTGTACGTTGTTTCCATTCTCCTGCTTGGCTAACTCATTTTTTCCTTTTCTCAGATCCTTCTTGCATACAGCGACAAAAAAGCACTCTTCGAGGACGTCAAGGCACGACGTGATGAATTGTTTGAAATCGAGAAGGTCATCCGAGAATTGGGTGAGATGTTTGTGGATCTCAACAATCTTGTAATGAGTCAGGTTGGTCTGAACGTTCCTTCTCTCCATCAAATTTCAGTCCTAAAGGTGATGACAATGGATCTTTTGAGGGAGAAATGCTTGACCGGATTGAGACGAATATCGAAGATGCGGTGGATTATGCGGAGAAAGCGAAGCAGAATGTCAAGGATGCTCGTGAGCTTATGAAGAAAGCACGAAAGGTGCGTTCATTCCCTGTTTTTATTTTCTTCCCTCTTTGTTCATTATCTGTTTGTTTTATTTGATGATTATTTCCAGAAGAAGATCATAATCTGCATAGTTCTCGCCATACTGGTTCTCATTTTGATTATCTTCATACAGGCGATGATATGTCATTTTACGCCGATTTGCTAGTCGCTCCATATTTCTACTCCGTTAGAGATTTGTTCTTTTGATGAATCTAAGATAACTATAGATATCTGTTATCTAGTTTTAGCCCAGCTTTATCGCAATAATCACTTACGCTCATCTTATGTCGTTATTTCTCCTCCAGTTGTGATTATACGTTGTAATTTATGGATATATATGGGAGAGATCTCAGGTGCATACTTTACATTCACTGCGATCAGCCTTTCCTAACCGCGATTGTGCCTAGTGGTTCTGGACCTCACCATCCAGAAACATCATAAATACTTATTTTTAGTATATTTCATGTTGAGATCCTGTATGAGTGTCATCAACATCATTAACCAACGAGTACTTCGAGCTATCACAATTTGTAGTCAATCTCTCATTCAATCACTTCTCATCATGCCTTAGTCGCTTTTCTCCGTTTAGCGTTCAGGGACATTTTTTTGCATTTTGCAGATTTGCTCAGTAAAAGTGAGATTTTATATATGTTTTCAATGAATCAGTTTGCTACTGACCGTATTTTTCTATACAATTGCAGTTCGTTCATAATCATCCTTTGCTATGCTTACAGAAATGAGTTCCTCTGGCGCTGACGGAAAAGAGGCGAAAAGTAAGACTCTTTTTTAATAAGACATGCAAAAATTACATATCGAGCTTCAGCTTATGGAGGTTGCGAAGGTCCTGATGCTACCTATGTCAAGCTGGTCAGCAGTGATGGCCACCAGTTCTTCATTAAAAAGGTAGGTGACCGTTTCTCATAATTCTTTTGATATTCTATCTACATAAAACTTGTAGGAGCTTGCTCTCACTTCCGGTACCATTAAAGCAATGCTAAGTGGACCCGGGCAATACTCCGAAAATGAAAGCAATGAAGTGAATTTCCGTGAGATACCGTGAGTTTTGGATAAAACAACTTTTCCTTCCGAACACTTGGTAACACCCTTTTTTATTTTTGAATGCTTATTTTTTAATCTGTATCTATTCGTTTGCGAATTGAGTCTTTCCGGTTCGTAGAAAAGTCATTGGGTGTACAGCAGCGAGAACAGTTTTCGATAATTTTGCACAAATTAACTGTACAAATAACAAGGAGAGATGCTGTTGAAAATAGACTACATTGTTTTAGATCACACGTCCTCCAAAAAGTTTGCCAGTATTTTGCGTATAAGGTTCGCTATACGAGTTCGGCAACTGAGATCCCGGAATTCAACATTACTCCCGAAGTCGCGCTCGAATTGCTCATGGCTGCCAATTTTCTCGACTGTTAAAGTGTCATGCTTCAAAAACGATCTTTTGTAAGATAGCATAAACACTACTTCTTTTTGACATTTGCTTGTTTATTACCCGCGATCGATTGTAGGCTATAAGGGCCGTTCTGGTACCGGTTCGTTCTCCCTTACGTTTTACATGTAATCTGCAACCATAATTTGCTGCGTCAAAGTTGAGGTTGATGTGCGAATGTTTTTGATTAGCTATTCATTGACCTCCTACCCCTGTAATTGTGATGTTTATGGGTCGTACCCTATCCGATTTTACATATGTACAATCAATCATTGTTGTATCTAATAGTTGTGCTACAAATTGCTGAGTAATTGTGATGAACTTTCATGAAACATCCATGTCATAACGACATTCTAATCCCGCCTCGTTTTTAGTGACACTTGCAGGGTGCATTACATGCAGTCCTGACCATGTACTCCCATGCAGTTTAGTCCCAGACTTACACGAGCTAGAATTGCACCATGGGACCGCACTTCATCCATGGTTAATTGTGGCGGTTTAATTGCTCCGATGGTCACTCTTACTGGCTGGTGTTTTTTTTTACAAATTACCAAATGAAGGGTTAATTTTGAGAGATCAAGCACGATGGACTGTCTCCAGAAGGGGGTGGAACCCGGGATGCCAGTTCGTACTTTCTAAGTTTAGGGATAAGCCTTGTACATTCGTCATTTAGAAGTTCTCAGCATACTTGGGCATGCCAGCGCAAAACTTATTGTTATAGGGCTTGTCAGCAAGCGAAGCTTGTCTACCGGCATTGCTCATGCAGGATTCCGAAGAGCCCTAAACTACTCAAGTGAACCAGATCACCTCCGCACTCTTAAAAATTCGCTTCAAGTGACTGAAAGCAAACATCTGATGGCAGAAAAGCGTTTGCCAGGAGAAAGAAAACCGAAGCGTAGTGCGTAACCAATGGTGCCAAACACACCGAGTTTCACGATCAGACGCATGCTATGATTTGGAGGATAAAAACATGCTGATGCATCGATGACGAATGTATTCATCATCAAGTCTGACAAGAAAGGGGGGTTTAATCGAAGTGGCCGTTCCATGTGGCTTTATATCATTTTAGAGTCAAAGTTTGAATCAAAACCTATCGTTGTTATCCACTGTGCGTCTCTGGATGACGAATTAGTTTTTTCGAGCGAAAAAATTCAAACGTCTTGCCACATTAGGCGTCTTATATTAGGTTGTCCCAAAAGTAAACCGTAATTCTAAATAAATCAAACTGTTTTTGTTTTCCTGGCTGACGTGGGGCACCATTCGATAGAGCGAAGCAAGCTCTACAGACCACCAAAGAACCGTCTAAGTTGCGTTTCAGGCAAAATTTGGATCCAAGAATCAAAATTTTCCAGCTACCTTAAAAATCGGATCTCCTTCCAGAAAATTCCTGCCGACTTCCAGCTTGGTCCTTATATAGTAGACACATAGTAGTACCCAAAGATGTTTTTGGTTGATTTTATTCCGGATTTAGGTTTTTCATGTAAAACTTGGTATTTCTCGATTATGAGAGCGCATACAGAGGTAAAGTTCTAGGATTATACTTAGTAAGGCTTGTAGTACACAATGACATATGTGGAAGGGGCTGCGGGCGGAGTTTGCCATTTTCAGACTACCTCTATTTCTTCGCTTTCTAAGCTCGGAAAAAATCCAGTAAAGGTATATTTGAGTACTATTATGTGTCTGCTGTATAATGACCAAGTTTGAGCTCCGTACGATTATTCTTGGCAAAAATCCAATTTTCAGGTGATAAATTTTTTTCGATTTTTGCTCCAAACTTTACCTGGATTACGAAATAGACCGATCTTTTGCGGTCATTTTGTAGAGCTTGTTCGCTCTATCGAATGTTACCCCAAGTCTGCCAGGAGAACAAAAGCAGTTTGAATTATTTAGAAGTACGGTTCATTTTTGGGACAACCTAATACATAGAGCAGTGGCAAGTATCAGTGATATCCAACCTTGGCCCATTTATGGGATTCCGAACGATTTTGTTCCAGTCAGGTGTTCAAAATTCCACATCATTTTCTGTGTCATTAGGAGTGACAGGGGCTCGTGCGGCTCGCGTCTTGCGCGACCGCCTTTGGGCTCTTCGCCTCTTTTGCGAACGTGCTCTCTGATCATTTTCCCACATTGAGCGTGGTAAAGGCTAGCTTCATTCGCAAGTTAAACGCCCGCGCCGGACCCCAGCCTTACGAACCCTATCACTCTCAATAGTACAGAGGGTATGAAACGCTCATACCTCGGCGAGACATACAGCAGATGTCGAAGGCAGATTTGGAGTCAGCGTTCGCCGCTAATGGTTTATCTGGAAAAGCCATGTCGACTAAAAACACTTTCCTCTTATACTCGGGGCGGTATGTATCAATCGCCCGTCCGGGTAAGTTACCCGGACAGGTAGTTTCCGCTTCATAGCTCGGTGCTCTGGGGATTTGTGTTCTTCCTTGTTTGTTCATCTTTTGGAGGCTCTACTACCTTAATATTGCACAATGAGTAGCAGCACTTTGCTGTATAAGCTGAGATAATTCGTTAGTTGTGTGATCCCGAACGGAAATCCACTTATCACGCTCATTTTCAAGGTTTTTTGTATCCGCAAAACTCAATGAAAACGTCACAGAGCTTTGCTGTCGATTTATTACGATAGTGCTACGCATGTTTGTGAATGAAATAAGTGAAAAATCAAGCTGACAAAATCTTCGATGAACCTGTGCTCGCGAGATGGGCTTTAGCGAAAAACTCAAAACTTGCACATTTCATCTGTGCTACCAAAATCATGCGTAGCACTGTCATAATAGATCGACAGCAAAACTCTGTAACGTTCTCGTTGAGTTTTTGCGGATATAAATAACTTTGAAAGTGAGCGTGATCAGTGGAAGATCATACAAATAACGAATTATCTCAGCTTTACGGCAAAATGCTATATTGTACTACAATATTAGGGTAGTAGAGCCTCCAAAATAAGAGCGACAAGCAAGAACACAGATCCCCAGAGCACCGAGCTATAAAGCGAAAACTACCTGTCCGGGTAACTTACCCGGACGAGCGATTGATACATACCGCCCCGGATCGCTGAATTGGGCGGGCGTGGAAAACGCTGGGCGCACACTAGATTGAAAAAAAAAACCCAATCGAAGATGCCGCGCAGCGATTACTTTATAGGTTGCTCGAAAATTCGCGGAGAACTGGGTTTTGAAGCTCTAATGGATAGAGTAGTAGGTGCCTTTGAAGCCAGTGCGCTGAGAAATAATGAAAATGTAGCTAAGCTCCAAAATTATGGTTAGATACGCTTCTTGTGGTTAACTTCAAGCGCTAGTTCCAGACTGATTGAGGAATTGAATACGCTCGGAAACCAAGTTTGAAAATATTGGAAATCTCATGTCAAGAATCCTGAATCCTTACAGAAATCAAATTCCTGAATAAACGGTTCACTTATAATTGCTGCATGTATCCTTTACTTCAGCTGCTGAACTTTTTCTCTAACGGACCTCTAATTAGAATAGAATATTACAAACTAGCTGGCTTACCCGGCTCCGCCGTATCCGGACCAAACTTGGCACACATACACTTCGGGCCCCGGCGCGTGTCACAGTCCACTTTTCGTTATCGATCGATGTCGATTTTACCGATTTTTATCGATTTTTTCGCAGAGTTCACCTACAGGGCTAGGAGTTGGCACAGGGGGGAAGTGAGCATGGGGATTCCGAATACAATATTAGTTTTCAGAATTATCGGTTACTTTTATTGATTTTATCGATTTTTTGTAAATTTTGACATGCGAGGCTGGGATTTTGCACAGGGGGTAATCGAGCATGCTGATTACGAACACAATATTAGTTTTCAGGATCGTCCATTACTTTTATCGATTTTATCGATTTTTTTGTAAAGTTTGACCTGCGGGGCTGGGAGTTTGCACAGGGGGGTAATCGAGCATGCAGATTACGAATACAATATTAGTTTTTGGAATTATCCATTACTTCTATCGATTTTATCGATTTTGCAAAATTTGAGCTAGGGGGATGGAATTTGGCACAGGGGTGTAATCGAGCATGCTGATCACCCCCTTGGGGATGATCAGCATGCTCGATTACCCCCCTGTGCCAACTCCCAGCCCCCTAGCTCAAACTTTGCAAAAAAATCGATAAAATCGATAAAAGTAATCGATAATCCCGAAAGCCAATATTGTATTCGGAATCCCCATGCTCGATTACCCCCCTGTGCCAACTCCCAGCCCCGTAGGTGAACTCAGCAAAAAAATCGATAAAAATCGATAAAATCGATATCGATCGATGATGAAAAGTAGCCTATGACACCCGCCGGGGCCCGTAGCGTATGTGTGCCAAGTTTGGTCCGGATCGGTTCAGAAATGGAATTTTCTATTCGGAACATACGTACACACATACAGACAGACATACAGACATACATACAAACAGACATTCAGCTTTATATATAAGATCAAAGAAACTTGGGAGTCTAGTCTTTCAAAATCTCTTCTGGATTCATATCTTAACCAACATTCTACATACTACAACAATTTTTTTTATAGAAATTGGAGCGTTTTAGATTGCCTCTAGATTAGGTGTTCAGCGACAACCATCACATGAAAATTTTATATAGATAAAGTTATAACAAGAGAACGATACTCAATTTCAGTGGCCTTTTGAGATGAATGTATAGCATTACTCTCTTCTTGAAACGCTGCTTCCGAATCGAACTTCCGTTTCTGCTAACAGCCTTACACCTTTTGTGTTTCCATTTTTGCATTACCTCAGTTAAGCTTTTTCTTGAAAGTTAGGCATCCTCGAGATGAATGCATACTCTTCTCTTCAAAAAGTGTGGAAAATCGAGGAAAATGAGGACCTGACCACCTGCGCTAGATTTTATCCAAAGATCATAATTCGAGCATATTTACGCGAACAAAACAAGAATTCCATCACTGTGCTCAACATCATTTTCCATTCGTATATATTTTTATAAGCACCTTTTAGAATAAATATAGGAAACACTTGTATAAAATTGACTCGTTGAATTTTCGAAGGGTAAGGACATGCCCTCACCAAGAGGAGCCTAACTTTCAAAAAGAAGATGGAGGCAAAGAAAAATTGAAAAACACAAGGATTCTAACCTACACCTGTCCTGGGGCGGCCAAACTTGGCTCGGAAATCCTTTACAACTTTTCTCAGAGAAACGAATAGCAGCAAAGGAAGTCAGATTTGGAATCAGGGTTGCAAGACGAATGTAATGGTATACATTTGATCTCAAAAGGCCACGGACAGAGCGTCGTTCCCTTGTTAAAGGACCAAAGCGTGATAAATCTAATAGTTTTGA